TTTTTTTAGTCTGCAAACTTGCAGGTTGCTTGATTTTTCTTCTGCAAAATGGAAAATTTCTCAGCAAAATGCAGACTGCAGACAGGTATTTCTAACACTGTCGGAGGAAACAGGAAAGACACAGGTCTCTCCTAGCAGTGGCGGCGGATTAACTTTCCATGTTTGAGGAATTGTTTGATGAAAGAGACTGCCCAGAAACAATCCCATGCCGGGGGAGCAGGATGGGTTTTCCTGGTCTCTCTGTAATCCTCGCAACTTTGATATCCAAATTAGAACTCCCGCGCTCCGCGTATCAAAGCTTCGCTTGATTACAGAGTAGAACTGGTATAGATTCTCGTATTGACCGTCAGATATCGGGTAGTTAAAAGTACATATACATACGGACATCACTCTCAAACTCCCCCTGTATATTGTATATCAGCAGATCAGGGTTGACAGCGGAAACCACTATCCAAACACAGGGGAGAAAAGATGCATACCAGAAAGTGTCAAGGGATTAGCTTTCTCTGTTCTTGTGTCTGGCACTAGAAACATAAAACTGACTAGTCAGAATGAACGACAGCGTAAAAATGGGCAAACATGATGAGGTAACAAATCAAGAGAAATTGTCGCTGGTTACTTTGAGTCAAGAATTATGTTTGGCACAATATTTCGTAACTAGTTGAAGAAGAATATACCGAGAAAGTGTTGCGTTGAGGTGCGGGTATTTGCAGAACTGACTTCCTTTTTGGACAATACGATGACAGATGTGAGCTATATGTAGGTATAGACATAAATGTATCTGTCTGTACTTTTAATTTGTTGGGACTATTTTGTATATCCACATTGTACTGTAATGGAAAGACCATATAGTATACACATGTGTATAGTAAAATTGTCCGTACAAGTGACCACCTCTACCTAAGGACCACCTGACCACTTTTTGATAGTCCCTTCGAAATTTGTTTTGGAATCACACAAGCATTAAGAATCCTGACTATAGTGACCACCTGTCCACATAGACCAGATTTTGTTGGAACCTTGAGTGGGAATACTTTTTTTTGCAATGTTCTGCAATATTGCAGATGAGTCAAAATTTGGAAACACTTTCTGCAAATACACAAGCCTCCATACTACTTTTTACAGTCTGCAAAAATTTGCAGGGTGCTTAATTTTTTTTCTGCAATATTGAAAATGTCTCTGCAAAATGCAGACTGCAGATTGGTATTTCTATCACTGTGTAGGATAAGCGACTACCAAAATAACCCTATCCCTGCACCTTACTGATACTAAAAGACTGGCCTTTAGGCCATCATTCTCTGATATCTGACTCAATCAACCTGGCAGTATGGCTCAAAGGTATCTGTCTGACTCCAGGCACTGTGAACTACATAAGTACAGGACAAAGGTCTTCTTGCCCAGCCAAAAGGTCACCAAAAGCATAATTTATATCATTTAGCAACAGCTTTTTCATAAACACCGAGATAAGATTCAGAACAGTATTTTATAACATCAGAAGAAATGATCATGGATACAGAATTGAAAATCATTCTCAAATTCAAAAAGGATTTTTAAAAGGCAAATATCTTTATGTTTTGTATTTTATACCATCTGCCTCAACTTTTATTGAACATTATTGAATTCAGTTTTATTTAGATCTACCATTGAACAGGTTATATCATTTACAGGATCAATTCAAGCGGAATACGTGTTTTACACTAGGATGCATTGATATGGTTCCCATATGATTAGATGACCCACTTTACTACTACATGTACACATCAAGCAACAATTGTCCTTCAATATGCAGAATCCTATTGTCAAAATAGAAGTTCCCGGTACGTAGTATTGCCAGCAACAAGCAAATATGAGAGATACAAACAGAGACTGTCCTTCTGCATTTGTATTAAACAATTCCAGAGCAACAAGTATTCTTGATATAAGGATACAACAAGAAAGGGTACATTGGGAGAATACACACAATTTTTGGGCTCATGTTTTATGAAAAAAAAAACATATGGTTTTGATAACATGAAGCAGACCATTTCACGAACAGACACACAATAACTGACAAATGCATATGTTACCAATAGAGAACCTCTTTCCAATATATCTGTATATTACTTTGTATGGCCTTCCTCATATAGGTTTCATTGAAAATGGACATTATGTCAGAAGTGTGTATCAAGCTTTTTTGTGTTATTGATATCAACAAATACATAGACAATTTTTACTCAGTATATTATGTACCTAACAATTCTAGCTACTCTGTGAATGGATAAATATATGGATGTACTACAGTTTTCATAGTTAATAATTGCGTGATAATGCAGTTTGTGTATGTGAAACATGGCCACCCTGTATTTGTTTACTGTTCAACCGGTATAACCACCCTTTTGAGCACACCAGATTTTCAGGCAACTACGGCGGCAGCTTATAATAATATCATATTGAAGCACCTCTGTCACACCAAGCTTATGTATATCTCACTTGTTATTTTTGCACTTTGCAACAATGAGTTCTATTTCACTCTATACTAATAATATTTTTGAAGGAAAGAAGGAATTTTTTCAACACCTCAGACCTTGGTTGATAACTGTGATACTTGTAGTTATGACTGTTACTTGTTCTTTTCTGTATTATTCCAGTTCTAACATGTTAACCACATTGTTTCTCTGAGCTCCTTTGTTCTAAGAATGAGTATTTACATTACATCATTGTTGTTGTTGTCCCATGTGCATGATGTAGATGTATATAAACAAATCTACAGGTGGCTTGCTTTCTATGCAGGTTACGGATCAACAGGATTTGCCGTTAACTTTTTTATGAAAACACCAAGGCAATTTTTAATTTCTTGAATGGTTCCACCATTGAAATTCTACCTGCAGTAAAAAAATCTCGCCATGCAATTTTCAGACCTTTGTATCATGTTTTGAAAGGATACAAAACCCGTTAGTACAATGGTGCACTCTAAAACATACTTGCTAATATTAATAATTATACAGCAAGTTTCCATTTTGTAGGTATCTTTTTATGTTTCTTTGATATAAAACTGGTAGTGTGTACCAGTGAAAGACTTGTTAAAACCAACTACATAAGTATAACTATAAGTAATATGTTTACAGACATACAACACTCAAAGCTTTATGTCTACATTTCTAGCAGCTTACATGTAATGAATCCTATAGATTGCAGAAACAACTGACTTAAAATGCCCTTGTCTAAGCAACTTACTTCTGATCCATCCAATTCATACACCTATATCTAATCTACATGGTCATTCCTGGACACTTTTACGGCACGCCAATACATAAAGCACTCAACACCTGCACCACACAACAGCTTTAGGAGATAACACATCATCCAGACACTTGGAGACTTATCATTACCACCAGTACAGTCTTGTTACACGGGGCATTTCCGTAAATAAATGGATTTCCCTTTCAAATCACCTACGCAAAGACAGATTTTAAGATCCTTGCTAGAACTGGTAACAGTCTGAATTATCTGGAAAGTTAAATGATGGGGATATCATTAATGTGTGAGTTTCCATTTATATATAATGACCATACAGGGAGATTTGAACACCTTTTTCTGCTTGAGGTCTCACAATCAAGACCTACCATCTGCCATGACTGCAGGATATATCAGGGTGCATTTTATTGATAACACAAAACGCGATCCGTCTTTTCCTCGATGGCACCGTAATGATGGAAGTTACCTACATACTAGTGAGTAGGAGGGGAAACTTTTATACAATGTGATGCGCATGATACAGTGGGGTAATGAGTTAGAGTGGTCCCACTTTTCACACATCTATCATGGAAGCCCAGAGCTTTTAGATTTGCATCTAGAACCATGTCTGGCAAACAAGAAATTAAATTTGAATAGCCCAAATAAGAAAAGTCACAAAGATTTTTTAAAACATTTAAATGTCTAACATTCTTTTTAATTTTAAATAAGACAGGTTAAAAACAAATTACAAGTATAATGGTGGATCAAATTATGATATTTACCTGAAAAATTACTAAAATCATTATTCCCACAACTAAATTTATAGAAAGATGTACAGCAACAGAAAAAAACACAATATAGTATACTCTTAAACCCCAAAAGATCCTTCCTTGCTTGTACTCCTGTTTATGAATCCAACTTTGCTACATAACTGATAGATCTATCATGTGCATAACCTTCTCCCTGCTGCCTAACCCCAAATTTATAACCAATACACATTTGGTGCCAAGTTGCTAACAACACCTTAGTGGGGAAAACGTTGAACCAGACAATAAAACAATTATCGGTTCCACCAATCAGATCTACATTTGAACCAAGGTGGGCGGAGCTACAGGATTACAGAAGTCAATTATTTACTTCACAATCAGGTGTGAAAAACAATTTAATAGCAATACACATCATGCTCCCCAGGAAATGTAGGAAACTTGAAGATAATTCCTTTAAAATGCAATTTTCCACTGGAAAACTACATATTGCAAATAACTTATATATTCGAGATAGCAAAATTTTGCAGTCTGAGAAAAATGGACATGTTCGCAGATCTATATGTTCATGGCGGGCAACAGCAGGTGCAGCAAAAAGAAAGTCAGCAAATTATTTGTTCGCGGTAATGATAAATTCACAACTTACAGAAGTAACAGCAAAAACCATGAAAATATAAAAGTACTGCAAATTAACATAAAGTAATTTACAGTAAAAAATATGCACCATGTACATTTACAACATTTTATGCCCTGGGAACACCATCAACATAAAAAAAACATACTTGTACTAGTAGATGCCCCTTGACATACATCCACGCCAAAAAAGGTGACGCCAAAACTCTAACTATACACAAAGTTCACAAACACGAACTATACTGCCACCCTCCACCCAGAACTATACAAACATGTGTAAACATATGTATACGCTTCCCCACTACATTACATACAGACAGCACTCTGCACTACTGTGTGTACTGTATAAAGACTACGAGTAGAAAAGTCCATGGAACAAGCTCAACTCACCACTCTGCAGCGTCTGTTGCACAGTAACCCAGTTGTTGGACACACCAGTTGCAGAGAATGTCCAAGTGGAACAACAGAAAGCAGTACATGTAGTATCAAGAAAAGAGATGCATACAACGCACGTGGTTAGAACTTAAGAGATGTCATAAGTTTGTTGGTCTTGTTCTATGTATGTTATGGGCCAAATGAAGATAATTTCTTGGTCCTTACATGGGTAAAATCATTAATAGTGGAGTGAAAAATCAACATCTAAACTTGGTCTAAAAGGAAAGTATGTTATATCTTGGTACACAGCTGAGAGAGATGCAAGTTTTTCTCCCAACCCACTACTATTAGTACTAATTTTTTTTTTCTTGGAATTGAATTGTCTAAGAATCAAATCAATGAATTGGTATATGGTGATATCATATTTGTTTTTTTCTCTCATGTAGAAGGTGGTAATAATTATATCACCAAGCCCCCCTGTGCTGCTGGCAAGAGAATTATTTGCTTACGAATTTGTTAATGTTGTTACAATAGAAGCACAATATTCAAGGTTTCGAATTTTTACCTGGCGTTCTCACAGCTTTGTAACATTGCAAATAGATTACACAATAGTAAAACAAATTCATAATTTACATAATAGACTGAATCCATCTGTACAACAAAATTAACAGTTGAAACAATGAGAGAGTTTTTGCATTTTTTAAGTTCTTATTTTTTGGACTGTTTGTGTCAAAGTGGGCGGGGCTGTGGAATTAGCATACAATTTAATTACATCTAGAACAATTAACATTTCATTGTTTTGTACTTTTATAAGAGGTAAACTAAAGCTTGTTTAAATGCAGAATTTATGGTGTTGGAACTTATTCATGTTAACCTGTAGCTCAATTTGTTTTACTAAGGAAACAATAAAAACTTTTCTGACTTGTGTGGCTTCTTTCATGCAATTGTTTTCTTACAATCACAACATACAACATACAGATGTCATATTTAGATAACAATATTGTAATACAAGTATAATTGTTTTGATGTTCTTTTGATTTTGATAACTGTACTGAGACAACTTACATGACGATGTATTTTTCTACTTATAAAACTATTGCATGTACTAGAACAGCATTTCATTTATTTCCGTGGTATGAATCTGTAGGTGGCAAATGTTGCACTGTTTACAGATTACAACTTTTAATCAAATTAGAGCCAACCAATGATAAAAGACCAACTGTTTTGTAACAGATTTGGCCGTAAAGTTGCTTCAAAAATAAGCCTGCGAAAAATCCGTAACGTAGCGGGAAACTTGTGACTTTTTGTGTAAATACAACGACTGGAAATTTTTTTTTCTTCTATAAATCTGTTCGGGTGTCATACCAATTATTGTGATCATCGGCCATTTACCGATGTTTATGAAATCGATTGAAAACGCGGTAAAATCCACACGTGTAAATCATGATCATCGAAAACAAAAGTCGAATCGTTCTTAAAACGCTCTGTTGTAGAGTTGAGCGTCATTTTTCAGCTAATTTTCGTTTTCAAAATTATTCATTTTTCATAATCTACGCAAGGAAATGAGAGATGGGAAAATTCACCCGTTGCGCATACTAGTAATAATTTATATATGCATGTTATGCGCGATGGCCAAAACAAAAGACGGTCGAGTTTCTAGGCTTTCTTGCGGCCGAATCGAGCCAAGTTAGATCGAAAACTCGTGCAGACAATAACCGAGACGGATCTTAAGCAAGGAAATCTGAAAAGACAACAATTCCAAACGTTTTCGTCGGTTTTATGCCGACCGGATTTGTACACTAGAAAGTGGGTCAACTCGTAAAGTAGGACGCGCGTAGTCGGAACGAAAAATATATATAACAAGAGAAACAAAGGAAAACCTTACCTTTATACAAGTCCAATAGATCCATTTTTGGTACAGAATATCATACAAAACATTCAAAAACAAAATCTATCCAACAAGTAAGGAATCAGTGTTAAATGTTACAAAAGTCACTGGAAGTAGGTCAGTATCATGCCTTCGAAATGGCCGCCATTTGTAAAAATGACCAGGGAAAACAAAGACCTTTTTAGATTTTTGGTTTCAACAACCGCGTTGATGAACACAGTACAACTGATTAAGTACGGTATATATACATATTTGATATGGGGTAATTTTTAGGAACGATTTTGTGAAAATCTTGAAAAGAATCGGAAGATCACGTGACCAGCTGTTCTAATTTTAATCAGGCGATACCATGTTGCACCTAGCGCTGGGGGAGGCCTGCCAGCCTGTATATGCTGGTATGTCAGACAATATTTCTCACTTCTGTCGCCTTTAACTTGAAGTAAAACATATAAGACTTAGAAAACAATCTTCTTTTTGTTGTAGGAAGACGGAAATAGTGTGTGATATTGGAGCTGAAAGAATCTAAAAGGACAGACGCGAGTGTGACGTTGCTTGTAATATTCAAATTTTGTGTTGTGTCCAGGACGAGCTGCGGCCTTGAGACAGACTGATCAAGAAATTTTCCGCCTGCAGCCGCCGAAGTCCCCTTTTCCACTGCCGGAACAAAGTTCCGACTCCGAAGGAGCAAACTTGATCGTTATTCCGCCGAAAATGTCAAGCAAAGGTGAGTGTTTGGTGAGGATTTGTTAGTCGAACGAGAAGAGACGGTGAATGGTGAAAATTGTGGGCTTGGCCCAAGCAAGATGGCGCCGGTTCAAGGTTTTCTGCCGAGAAATGTGGGGCACTGTGTCAAGTTTTTCTGCAGTTTTGACACACAGTTTACCTCCGATCATCTTCACCACAACCCACACTAACTAGTCCACGGTGTATAGATGTGTAAAACGAGACGTAACGTGTTGGTTTTCGTAGTTTGGTGGGGAAATTTTGGGACACTGTCAAGGCTTGTGGGAGCGCTGACTGTGCGGTGTCGGTCTCCTACCGCGCAGCTACCATTGCTGCACAACTGGTGTGTGCTCACGTACAGGTGTCTGTGCTTCCCTGCCAGGTGCTGCAGGTGCACCTTTGCCTGGTCATTGCTATGATTATCATAATCATCTCAGCTTCCAGCTGCGAATCGGCTCGTTGTAGGTGGCAGCGGCGATCTCGGCAAATTTTGGCGGGGACTGCACTATAATATCTCGGCTCTCGTAGTACGCACCCGATCCGAGAAAAACAACAGTTTCTCCCATATTAGATTAACAGCGATGATCATAGAAAGTGTACTGCTACTGCTGTTTCTAACACTGTATTGTAGATATATTTACGGTGTATTAAGTGGAGTATAGTTTGTTTTGGCTAGGTTAGATTTGTTGATAACGACCGACCACGTAGACACACCCCCCGTATGTCCAGCTCTGTCCTTTTCCATTTCTCAAATAAAGGCAATAGTTAGATGTGTGCCGAGGCTAGTGCGAGCTAACTGCTGTTCAAATTATTTACCTACTGTCTGTGTGTACGGAATAATGTGGTTCTTAGGCCACACTAGTTTGATGTTTTGTCCCTGGATTCAGACTTTTTATTTCTGGTTTCTTATTTCGGAAAAATCTAAACAAGATCACCACTGATCACCACGAATCAACACCAAAAAATGATCATATTTTGCCACCAACAGATAAAAATCATTGTCTTTCTAGTTTTCTTTCTTTAATCAGTATGTACAATGTTGTGAATTCATTGTATGAAATGTTGACCTGGCTGGTATGTTGACTTGGTGGCTCCTGTGGCAGCATTTGAGTCAGGGTGCAAGATTGAAAAATAGTTTTTTCTGCATACCTGCACTGGTGCAGGAATTTAATCATGCAAAAATTACCTGCAACAGACAATTTATACATGCACTACTCTGCTGTAGATTTTATTACAAATCTGCAAGTGTTGAAAACTGTGACTTGTGTATGGAAATCATTTCAATTAAAGCTTTTCACGGCTATTACAAACAATACACACAACAAAAATCCATAGGTACACTTTTGTGCCAGTGCAGTTTAGTTTGAGGCAGATATCAGAAAAGCTTTCACATCTCCAATTTCTTTGCACAAATTTGCATATGCATGTAGTTTTTCGAGTCCTTTTGGGTGTTTTCTAATGTACTTTCCAGTACTAGATTAGAAATTTAAATGGAAACAGCATTTTTTTCAGAAGTATTACAGTATTTTAGCTTTGACCACATCACATCTTGAAAGTGTTGCTCATTATCCAGTGAATAAGTGTACAATAAGTTATGACTTAAAATTAAAACAGACCTGGACATAGTATTCAGAATACTCAAGACAAGGTATGCATGCAATATAAAGGTTCTGGAAATTGATACGCTTTTGCTATATCGTACACTGTAAGCTCAAAAGAAAGGTACGTTTCACTTTGAAATTAATTCCCATACTAAATGTGAATCAATTGCTTTATCTATGTAACTTTCTTCCCAGAATTCTATCTTTCTTCCTAGAATTTATTCAAATTGAGTAATAGAAGGATTCTGAGCTAATTCAAGCTAGGTTTTCTTACACCTGTGACATTTGTTTTCATGTATGTGGATACACACTGATGTACAGCTGGCCTTTTAAGCTTATTGGTTAACCAACCTAACACTTTAGTAACAGTTTTGTTACAGCAAACTGAACATGCACCTGGTAGACTATTGTATAAAGGTGTGAATAAGACCCCTACTAGTAATTATGTGACCTCTTCTGGGCTGTTTGTATGGAAAATAATGGTTACAATGGTACCATAACACAACAGTTTTCAAGGTATTACAATATAGATTTTTCAAGAAACAACAGTTGCATAGCCACCTATGGAATCAACAAAAACATTCAGGTTTCTCACAAGTTATGTAATAATTGAGCAAAGCAACAGTTTTAATACACTAGGGAAAATGGGTTCATGTCTGGGTCATATCAAATTAACATTATGCAAATAGCAACTGCAGTTTCAACTATTGTCTTTTGAAATTTGATGGTCTGTAAAACTGCATATATTATATGGATGCCAAGGGGGTCCAAGTATATGGCTTATGATCCATTAAAAAACTTGTAAAGTCTTCGTAACCAACTGATTTTTCAAATAGTTTGGTTTAAATTTGACCAAACAATTTGTTGAACTTTATTAAATTGTTACATGGTCTGATCCACAAGAGTTGTGGGTGGCTAAGATTACAACTACAAGATTGGGAATTTTGCAGGTCATGTTGGACCATGATATAGGATTAAAGATGATTAGAAGAAGGTGGATGGATTAACCAGCATGAGATTAGATAAGTAATCATGGATATACACAAAACAAGCCCAGTGGTTGTGACTTTAACTGTTAGTCGGTAAAACTGGTAAACATACATGGTAGTAACTGATCTTGCACAGCCACTGTATTCTTCTAACATGTCTAGTTTTAGTAGAAATAGTATAGAACTTGAGAAAAGCTTAATCCAAAACTGAAATGTTACTGGCATTCTTTTTCCCTTGAATTCTCAGCACCAGTGGTTTTCTGGGTTGTTGTGCCCACCTGTATCTGTAGTTGATTTTTGTCAGTATTACTCTGCAAACCCTGAGGCTTGTGGAGAACCTGGGTATAATTATCCTGTGGTCAGACTCAGTAGTTTGATAGGGTCTGGCCATAATGACCAAATAGCCACAAGGAGTTACAAGTGGTAGCTTTGGTATCACTTCAACCAAATCTGGCTTTCGAATTTCGCGATAACAGGATGGCAGCAGCGTTTTCTACTCTGTAAAGAGGAATTTAATGGTCGTACAAAGGTGTTTTCTTGATATGAGAAAAATTTTGCCTGGTAGCTTTAGTGCATGTGTAAAGCCAAAGTGCTGGGTTCAAGGTAATAAGCATGTAATATAGCTTGGGACAGTCAGTCACACAAAAAGATTGAAGGAAAAAGGCCTGTTTCAAATGGAAAAGATGGAGCATAAAAGAAATCATTCCTTATGTTATAATCACGCTTGTGTCTTCGTGATCCTGACAAATTGACAAATCTCATTTCAGCATACTATACATAGGAATCAGTCTTAAAAAGCTAAAACAGCTAGAGCCAGTGCTTATAAATTCACCGTTATTGATGATATTATAGGGAAAAACTGTTCGTCAAAAAAGTGGGCCTTTGTGGGACAATAGAAAGGTGCACTTTCTATTGTTCATTTATCTATTATTTGGATCATTATCACATGATTATTCACTGTTTGGTAAACCCTCCTTCTACCATTTGAGATTATTCTTTGTTCGGAACCTACAATGATATACCAGATACATGTATAATGATACAGATCTAATAAACCAATTACATATTTTTAAATAGCCTTCTGACATTTTCAAAAAACTAGTAGTACATAGACAATGCATTTTGTGTTGCATTGTAGTTTCATGCATATTTTTGGCTTATTATTTTGATTTTATTGTGGTGCATCTGCACCTTAATAGTGCAGGTAAAATTGGAGCTGTGCATGTATTTCTGATGTCTACCTGCACCTAACCTGCACTGGTCCATGTACTGGGTATATGCAGGTTAGTGCAGGTAAAGTTGGAGTTGTGCAGGTATTTCTGATGTCTACCTGCACCTAACCTGCACTGGTCCATGTACTAGGTTTATATACATGTACATCTAGGTGTATTGTGGAGTTTTATCTGCTGAATTGACTGCTACCACCTGTAAAATGTAAAAGAAATAATGGCAATGGTTTCTGAACAGTTTTTATATCATCCATATTACCTACATTTCGAGTGGTTCAGGTACAGTTTTGTGTAGGTAATTTTCAATGTTACATGCACTAGTACAGGTACGCAGAAAAAAAAAAACTGTTTCAAGGCCTTTGTCTATTGTTATGGTTCTGATTGTAAATTGTAATGAAGTGTTTTTCAAAGCAACCTACAGGACAAACTGGTTTGCCCTTTTAGACTTGTGGCCATTGTTTGACTAATCCTATATATCATCTTGCCACTGTGGAATTCTCCTTCTGCATTGCCTTGGGCACAACCGACCTTTGTGTCTTTTCATCAGATTATGATTCAACACTCTTACATGGAGGTGAAATTTTGGTTAATGTGTAGCTGAATTACAACAACAACATCAAAACTATGTCACAAAAGTATTCAAATTTAACATGTAAATGAAATGGTAAGCTTCAAGATGCTTGAAAATGCAAACATTAGTTGTAAAATTTTGTCAATCTTACATTTGCAAAATCCACCACAGTTTGCTAAATCATCTGTCTTTTCTGTATTCTAAAAAAATTCTTGTTTGAGTTCAAACTATCCATTTTATCCAGGAAATATTGACTACTAAATGTTTGTAACATCAGCAAATTCTAACCATTCTATCCAGGAAATATTGACTACTAAATGTAGTATCAGCAAATTTTGAGAGACAGAAGCCATATTGACCAAGTCTTTCTATAAATCAATGGTATGTTCTACCTTGTAAACTGCCAACCTGCTCCAAAAATTCAATCGGCAGTACTAATTGATCCAAATCCAACACCAAACACCATTTATATCTTGTGTTTTAGCATAAAAATCTAATAGAAAATACATATATTTTTGATGGCGTTGTGTATTGTTGTAGTAAATGACTAGTCGCTCATGTAATCATTAAAGTTTTAATTTCTATTACTAGACAAAAGCCAGAACCACACAAATACCTGGCAAGATATCTGACACAATCAGTGTAATACAAGAACAGTGTCAGATGTTTAGGTTTAATTTGGTCAGCATTTTGGTATTTCGTGTTGCAGTCAACTTAAAGAAATTGTTTTCTGAGCAGGTAACATAAAACTGTTTTGAAAGACCTGAAAATTTGTTATGCCAGTTGCTTTTGGTGGCAATTTGAATTGTTAATAATGGATTTGGCAAAAATGTAGTAGATTCAGAAGTAAATTGCTCAATATTTTAGACTTGTAGGCACTGCATTTATTGATTCCTGCAGTAGGTAACAAATAAAGGTTTAAAAAAAAAGTGTAGTCAGGCTGAAACATATAAACAGCCTTTGAGACAGGATAACAAGCATTTTAACGGTATAGACGTATTGTTTGAATTCAAACTGTTGCAGCATCCCCTAAAGGCCTTGACCTCGAAAAGTGACCAACAATGGTCGTTGACAGTTCAGTAAATAATTTAGAAGAATCAAATTGACTAAAAAAATAAGTATTTCTTGTCTTGACACTTCTAATAAATGGTAAAACCCCCAAAATTTTTAAGAAAAACAAAGCTCTGAAGAGGAAGCATTTGGTATTGAAAAAAAAATAGATAAAAATTAAGATAAAAATTGAAACAATGAAACTCCTGTATTTTACTGTTTTGTTGTTAATGATCCCTCCAGTCATAAGGTACATGTAATCATAGACAAAGTACTACTAATTATAGCCTAAAGCAGGAAATATCACAAGGATTATATTGCAAGCCTTTACAAACAGGTGTTCTTGCCAGGTATGGTTGTTTTACATGCACAACAGAGCTGTGTTTGAAGTCCACCCTGCCTGTCCCAGCCCTAGCTACGTGTAACCGGCAGCGTGCAGCTTTGAATTTGCCTGGTTGCATAACAGCTGATCACGTGATTGGGGGCATTGACCAGCTGGCTCGTTGCCAAAGCCATTACCCTTCTCCTCTTACCAGCCTTTTACAGGTAGTCACGTCACAAGAGCAATGACCCTGAGAGGAGTCAGTGACAGTTCACAGCCCCTTCAGTCCAACTGGCTGAATAAACACTAAAACAGAGTCCTTTGTGTAGATTTAGTGAAACATCAGAGAGCGTAATTGAGCAAAGTTGTAGTCGCCCGGGGAGCGCATTAGCAAGCTTGGAATGGCACAGACTGGGCGGTTCACACGATCTGTGCATGAAAGAAAAAGGACTGACTTTGTAGTAGAATAATTCATTTAAAGGATTGCCTGTCTTTTAGGCTTATGAGCAGTGGATTGTGTATAATTTTATGAGTCAAATTGCATGCTGGGAGATGCAGGGCACTGTGGGTAATGGGGAAACATGAAAAAGTTGAAGTATTATACAATGTTTTGCCATTGTTCTTACATGTATGTTTGTACACAAAATGTACTTTTGAGTGTTAGAAATTTTGGAAAACAATAGCAAGCTCCCATTTTCTAACATGCAAATTGTTTTCCTTTCAGCACAAATTGAGACGATCCCATGTAAAATCTGTGGGGACAAGTCTTCTGGGATACACTATGGAGTCATTACTTGTGAGGGCTGCAAGGTAAGTGCAGGAATAACACCTTTAACCTTCTCCCTGCTGCCTAACTCTGTAATTCTGTACTATAACTAATATTGGTAATCAAACGGCTTATATGTATTTCAGTGTGGTAAAGGTTAATGTACATATTATGTCCTGCTTAGATGACACTGTAAAAGTTTTTGTTTTCTTTATTTGTAAACTCCCACCATACAGTAAAACAAAGCTGCAAATTGCAATTTGTATGACAATATTTTTATCTCTTATTCTTAACAATGGGTTGAAAGAAATCCCTTGAATATTACTATTAGTTGTAAGTACGTATTCCAGGTACCAGGACGTGTCAAAATGAAGCCTATAATTTTTAGCCCATAGTTTTGCCCACTCCTTTGTTACAGAAATTAGGAATGTCACAAGTCATTATGTACTTGTTGTGCATCTTATACAATACGGCCAGGATATCATATCAATCATTACATTATATGATAATGACAATGATGTTTATTGCATATTCATGCCCTTCCGGGCTAAATGCACTGGATGACATAACATATTGGATGATACTAGTACATAGGGAATTGTATAAGAAGAAAAACAAAACAAATGTTAAAACAGCTACTGTATACTATAATTCATCTTACTCTAAAGCGTACAATAGCTTACTAGTTTCTTCTCTCCTCTTGAGACATGCGTACACGAATTCACAGAGTTTCTCAATCACCAGGTGTTTAGACGATGACGTTATGTATGTGAACAGTTCGTCGTTTGTTAACTTTGTAAATCTCTGGCCCAGTTTAATAGTGTTAAAGAGAGAGATGCGTAGATCTCTATACAATGGGCATTATAGTGACATAGAAGCACTGATATTTATCTGACTTTATAGGTTTTTTGTGTTTCTCTTGTTTTCAGGGCTTCTTCAGACGGAGTCAACAGAACAACGCGGCCTACTCCTGTCCCCGGAACAAGAACTGCCAGATCGACCGGACCAACAGAAACCGCTGCCAGCACTGCAGACTGCAGAAATGCCTTGCCCTCGGCATGTCTAGAGATGGTGCGTATTGTTTTAATTTGCCCAGTACAAGGTTAGAGGGATCCTGGTAGCCTCTACCAGACACCGCGGATCGCTGGAAAAATAGTAGAAATTGGCCGAAATAAAGGGATAGTATACCAGAGATGATCCAGGGCCATAGAAGCTCTAATTTGTGACCCACGAGGTCCAGCGAGCGATCCGCGGTGCCTGGTAGAGGCTAGGATCCTGGGCCCTACTAGGGTTTGGGTTGGCGTGAGGAAGGGCATCCAGCCGTAAAAATCTTGCTCCAAAAAAAGACTTGCATTTGATGCAAGCACGTCTAACGCCTGTTTCAGGGTAAAAAGACGTTAAAATTGGATTTAAAAAAAGGCTAGGAGACCTCTTCTAGACAACAAATTCGTCTGCTAGACACCAAATTCATCTGTGTTCGTTTCCTGTTTCAGTCCTGAAAAAAAATATAGGGATGGTAGGTTAAAGGGATTTTCTTGTTTCTTCTGCCTTTTTTATAGACTTTGACAATCTCGAGTGATCCAACTTATACAGTACAGTTTAACAACTTAAAACTTGCATGAGGACACTTATATTTTCAATGTCAATGTTGGAAAACCAATTGTACAATTTCATCACACAGGTGTCAGATCATGGAGCTGGAAAAGGTTGATCAGCTCAAAAAATTTCTGTCCCTTGCAGGACCAAAAAGACTAGGGTTGGCAGTATTTTTAGGGTCGGTTCTTAAACATAACCAAGAATTATTTACTTTAACCCAAAGGCTGCATGTTGCAGTTTAATTGGAAACTGAAATGTATATGAGACAGATGTGTTTATGTTCTGACACAAACAGTGAAACATTGTTTGATATGTAAACTTTCAGCAGGAACTAGAAGTATAGAACATGCCTTCTCCAATTTCAAACCCTCGCATCAACAAGTTATTTTAGTGGTATCAACAAAACTGGAGGTTATATGTTAAAATGTTCATCTATGTAAATGTAAGGATAAGTTAGAGTTAGGAATTACCACCTTAACCTAAAACAGAAGTTGTTTTTCTAACAATTTGCAGTACAGTATAGAAATATAATGATAGGCAATACCAGTAGACAACTAGACTTATTTTCGGTGTTACCACAACAAGGAAAATTCTTTCTTTAGTATTAGTCATTTTTCACTGTAATAAGTCCATACGTGGAATTTCACTCTCTCAACTCTTTCTAAACAACCATATGCTTGTGATGTCTACCTGGGCCCACTCAAAAAAACATCTGGCTTCTTGCCGAAGTAAAAACACTTTCCGTACAGGCATATTTGCGGCATACACTGAAGATCTCAAATATTTCAAATGTTCTAACCAAATACTTCGCAAGCAGGTAGCCATAACTAGTTTGTTTTCATCTTTTAGCAGAAACTTTTGTAATCAAGGACTCCTTTTATATTCTTATTGATACCAAAATCCGCACACCGCAAATTAATTCCAAAGTACCAGTGCAAGTGTCTTTTTAAACATTTGGAAGGCGAGGTAAACACTTGAACAGGGTCTGTGCCTTGTAGTTTGTTTACCAAATGTACAGGTGGCTGTAAAGAATGATGGATGATGGCATTTCTGGTGAACTGAAAAGAGGCAAGCAGTTAGCCTGGATGCCAGACCCATAGCACACTGGACACAAAGTATCTCCCTGCTCACTGAGATACTTGTGTCCAGTGTGCTACGGGTCTGGCATCCAGGCTACAAGCAGTGGAATATCTGCCTCACAAGTTACAGGAAACTTAGGTTTATTTTATTGTCAGTGAATAGAAAAGTCAAAAGATCTCATTGCTCTGAGCAAAAAGCTCTTAGTACAAAGTATGTACAGTGGTTGTACACTAACCACAGACACAAAGCAACACCACATTACATGTATCCTGTGCTACTTGATAATTTCAGGCAATATTGTAGGAACTCTGTTGCTATGTTGGCTAGTAACCATATTGCTTTAGTGACTCCTGCAGTTCTGCAATGATCTCCCAGGTGTCACTTGTACATATAAGTATAGACTGTAGGGACATAATTTGATTTGGCTTTAACACATAGCCTAGGCTGAGTGTAAGAGGGATTTATGGCTTAGTTCAATGGGGATCCCCGGGTACCTTTTGTTGTATATTCACAGATTAGGCACTCTATGGGCTCCTTTGGGGTTTTCCAGACCATGCATGTAAGATAACACTTATAGCTCTCACTAAAACCACATTAGTGGTCCTTAAGTAGCCAGATTTGAAGGCCATACCACATACGTACATGACCTACATCTAGCGTCATCATACATTATGTATTAACAAAGTATGTTTACCCTCGCAGAAGGAGAACATGCTGTTTTTTGCTCTGTTTCTTCTTCTTCTCCAAACAAATAAGGTCAATGACCTGAACCAGGCATCTGTCACCATGGTGAGATTGGTGACTAGTATTAGGTTACATTATGTTGCAATTTTATAGCAGGAGGGATTTAGACTCCTGTCTGACCATATATATGAATGTGTTCGAGTAAGAATTAACAGAGCAGACCATATGCAATCATGCATTTGACTAGGAAAAATTAATATTACGTTTCTAGTTATGTTATAAGTATGGTGAAAGCTGTTTTTTTTTTCTATTCTAGCGGTGAAGTTTGGCCGAATGTCCAAGAAGCAAAGAGACACATTGTACATGGAGATCTTACGGCAACAGAAAGAGCAGGGCAAGACGAACGAGGCCGAGGCCACGTATATCCCCTCCCCCCCAGCCACAACAAAACCAGCATTCCCCTACGAGCCGCAGTACCCCCTGCCTGACACCTCCGCAGAAATACCCCCCAAGATGATCAAGCCCCCCAACAACGGGCTCTCCAACGGACTTGCTTACGCCATGATCACAGAGGGAGAAATATGTAAGTTTTTACATACCACTTTTAAGGCGCCACTAGAGTTGGTTATGTTAATGAGCCCGTGTGCTCTTAGCTTGTGTATCCCCCGTAGATTGTCCGACCACCATGATGTGAGCACGGTTGTAATAAAGCTCCTCGTCTGCACTTGTTGTCTCCGAGTTGTTCACGCGTCCTTGGTCACTAACTGGCGCTTTTTTTTCTGGAGAGCATGTAGAAGGGATAGTGCAGTGTTATAGTACAGAGTTTTAGGAAGTATGATGAAAAAGGGGGTATTCTAAGACTTCCCTAAGAATACAATTTATATCGTGTCAGAACTGGAAGAGGGTGGATATCATTTTGAATGTAATGTCCAAAATATGGAGTAGATAATATGTATATCTATTCATGACTGTCACCTCAGTGGAGTATAGGAGCAAATTTAAGTAAAAGTTGAGTCAGACATATGATGATATCTATATATACATTGTACATGTGGGACAGTACAAAAGAAAGTACCTGGACATAAAAATTCCTGCCAAAGTTTATAAATATATAGTCTCATCCTATTGTATACCACAGTAGCTTTGTTTACTAGATTTAATTCCAAATGTTGCTATATGTTTTATCACATACAATTGGAGAACGGTAAAGTTACAATTGAATCGCAGCATTTGGAAAGATGTTAAAGAAGGAAATAGCAATCATCTCCCTTTTTATATCTTCTACTTACAGTGCAGATCACATTTGACATCACAGAAGCCTACCAGAAAACTACAAAGTACACCATCAGTGACATCCAGTCCCTCTGGTCGGAGTATCATACAGAGTTAACGGCTCAGAAGTACCGCAGCATGGTAAGACATGGGAACATGGGAGGGGTTTTCCTCTACCATAAAACATAATATGACATGCAATATTCTGTTTGTGGTCTCAACGTTTTTTGTGTATGTGTCCTTAGACTTTAATTCATACGTTCAATGGTGTAAACTCTTACTGCATATGCTATAGATGCCTTCACCACAAGTCCACAATGTACAATATGTTATGAAATACCCTTTCTGTTTGTGGTATATTTTTTGTGTATATGGACTGAGTCTTTCATTCATAGCTTCAATGTACTGCACTGCAGTCAAACCTGTTCTAGTGCCCAAGTCTGCATAAAGACCACCTAGCATATGTAGTATTTGTAGCCACTTAATAATCATGTCTATGGAGGCTATTGTGAACATTTTCTTAGTCCTTCGAGTGCTCCCTGTTTCAACAATTTGTGCAAGGACAGAAGACTAGTATAATACTTCCATGTGTCTCTCTGGCTTTACATATTAATAGAACCAGACGTTTCAAATCTACAAGTGATTACAAACAGTAGGCATTGAAAACTATTTCTTCCAATAGTCTGTGTTTTTCCCCCTAGCCTCGGGTGGACTTTTGGAAGTTCTGTGCGGAGCAGATCACAGGCTGTATCCAGATGGTGGTGGAGTTCGCCAAGAACATCCCTGGATTCATGGACTTGTGTCAAAATGACCAGATTATCCTACTGAAGACAGGTTGGTATAGAGAGTCTGGTTGTGAACCAAAGGAAAGGTAATGCACTGTCTGTAAAATGTGTATCATGTCACCGTCCTGTGTAGTTCCAGATTGCTTAAGTTTGCTTTTCCTGGAGTCAGTTCTCTGGAGAGTACCATTGAATTTGATAGAGATGTTTAAAAGCATTAAAGAAGGAGGGCCCGAAATACCAGGTGAATATGCATCTTAGTGCAGGTTAAGTTAGAGCTATGCAGGTATTTCTGATATCTACCTGCACCTAACCTGCACTGGTCCATGTACTGGGTTTATATACAAATGTAGGCGTATGTGGATTTTTATTTGCTGCGTTGACTAACTGTTACCACCGATGAGGTCTAAAAGAAATAATGACAATGGTTTCTGAACAGTTTTTAGTATGATCAATACTTCCTAAGTTCTGGGGAATGCAAGAAAATTTGTTTGGTGCAGGTAATTTTCAATGTTACCTGCACCAGTGCATGTATGCAGAAAAGTATTTCAAGATCCGGGAATGTTTTTTAACGGCTGAAAACACAAACTGTTTCGAAGCACTGCCACTGGTTACTTTAAAAGCATTACACTTCACCTTAATTGAGGATGACTGCTTCACTTATTACTAGTGATGCATACCGGTTCACTGGACTTGGATCCGGACTTGTAAGAATGTTTAGGTTCAAGTAAAAAAAAACCTAAAAGTCAAGAACCGAGTCATGACTTATTACCATAAAAGACTGTAAATTGATTGCAAAATCTTTGCTGCAAAACGAAGAAAACATTGCCATCGGGCATCGTCAAGTACTGGCCTCCATGTTATGTGGCCAAAGTTTCACCCAAACAACACTGCAAGGTTGCCAACATGCAATTTTGTATATGCCATGGGTTTAGGTCTGGACTTACGAGTCCGGAACTGAACCTAAACCTCTGAAATTGAATCCGGACCTGAACCTAAAATTGGGTTTAGGTATGCAGCACTAGTTAATCCTTGTGTTTTTTTCCAGGCTGTTTTGAGAACTTGTTAGTGCGCATGAGCAGAGAAATCAACCCCAACACGAATGCAGTTCTGTTCGACGGGAAATTTGCAAGCATTGATTTCTTCTCCATACTCGGTAAGTGTATCATCAGGTTTTTTTTCACTTAATGCAGCGTATAGCAGTGTTTAAAAGTTGATTTGATTTATTGAAATTGTATAAACATGAGGGACAAAGGCAGCTATTGCTGGTGGTGTGTCCCACACATAGAAACAAAATACAGGACAGACAATACTCATTTTCACCTGAGTGAAGTGAGGAAAGTCGTTTTAAGTGCCTTTCCCAAGGGCACAAAATCAGTGGCATGTCAGGACTCGAACCCGGGACCTCTTGGTTCCGAGTAAAACACTCTGCAGTTACACCACATGACCCCACCCCAAAAGTTGGCAGCAGTGTTCTAGCCAGCATCTGTCTTTCCGTTATTTGACAGAATTTTGCTGCTCCAAGTCCCAAAAAGGGGAATGTGACATGATTTTTTTTTAAAGTCTGGAACTAGTTCCAGTGAACCTGTACACAGCACTAGGTAAGAAAAATTGCAGGATATTCCAGTGTTTTGTTGTGTGTGTTTTGCAGGTGTGAATGACCTGGTGTCGTCCATGTATGACCTGGGAAGGAGTGTGTGTCTGCTGAAGCTGACTGAACAGGAACTCGCCCTCTTCTGCGCTGTCGTCCTCGTGTCAGCAGGTAGGGATTCCAACTCTTAGGAATGCTTTAGGAATGATAAAAAGCCCTCCTTGATAGCATATCATAGCGTAGTATTGAATGAAGTATAAAATGATACAATTCAGGGCTCGTTCATTGCATGTAACCGAAAGTAAGTTGAAGAAGAATTTCTAAAACCAGTCAAACTCAAATTGCAAACCATTCTTGTGTTTGCTTCTCTGTTCTAAAGATACATGTTGTACAAGTAAATGTGTTCAAGCATAATGTATACATGTTGGAGAATTTGCATGCAGTTCTCTGGAAAGTTAACAGAGGGTGCTGATGCACAGCTGTTGTTCTTAAGCTTTTAATTGAAATGGGGAGGACTAGAATAAGCCCTAAGGCTTTTTTCTCCTCCAGCACATCCATTTTGTTTAGGTTGATTATTCTATATTCTGCTTTGTTCGATTAGTATATTCACATACTGTATTGTTTTCTTTTATATATGTGCAAATAAAAATAAACAAAACAACAACAAAAATTGTGTTGTCCCCCTAGACCGACCGGGCCTACGTGAGCCCATGGCAGTGGAGAAACTTCAGGAGAAGATAATCCAGGCTCTGAGGTACCAGGTGTCGCAGACCCACCCGGCCGAGCCTTCCTTCCTCGCCAAGATCCTGATGAAGATGCCCAACCTTCGCTCGGTGGCCGCTCGTCACATGGAGGAACTGGCCGCTCTGAAGATGCAGAGCCCCAGCCTCCCCGAGTTCCCTCCCCTGTACAAGGAACTGTTCATGCCCCCTGAACCAGTCCAGAACACGCTTGGTGGGGAACACGCACTTCACCCACACCACCACATGCTCGCATAGAAACTCTCGCTCGCGATAGTAGTACTTGGTATGCGGTAATTAAGCTCTTCATATAGCTTTAATGCTCTGTGTATATATATATTACAGTGATTTGTAACTTTGCTGAAAATAATCATGCTTTTTTCGCTTATAGTTTGCTTATATTAGGCTGATGTGCTACTATGGCGTCCGCCTTGGTTTTATTACCTTTAAATTGCTGATTGCTAGCAAGCTTAAGATAATCAGGCAACTGATTTAGTTGTTCTAGAGGCTTGATCAGGTGCTTTATACTACATGTACAGTCCTCAATTGTATATTCCCAGCACATTTTAACCCCTTTGTTCTCTGTTTGTTGTTAGAAATAGACCCACCACCGGGCAGGTATTGGGCCAGATGTTTACATCAAATCGTTCCAAACGCACAAGAACATATACAAGGAGCATGTCTCGTCTCCAGCCCATGGCAAGACATGCCCCTTCCTCAAACCTTGCTGCTCAGGGTATAGAGATCTAGTCCACAAGTTAAAAAACCGTCAAACCTCAAGATATTATAAGTGTAGCTCCCGATCCACAGTTTAACGTCAAGCCGCAGCTTGCCTCAAGTCCAGGTGAATTGTAGTGGTCATCATTATTACTACATGAATAATAGACAGTCTTGTTTGCACGCGCACAAATGACAGCAGTGAAAAAATAACTGACATATACACTGTATCATACATAAGAGAGTGTATACAAGTTTTCCTTTTTGCTGGCTGGTTTCAAATAGTCTTCTATTTTGCACTAACCCTACCTCAGTCTTGTGCGAAGCGGATCCATACAGGACCTACCAGGAAACCTCTCGAAGTCAGGAAAAGGAGGGGGTTGCTTCTCCACAGCTACAGAGTTCAGTTTCAGAGGGAAGCTCACAGCTCTGAAAATGACTCGGTAGTTGTCGGTGGAAGCAACGGTCCACAACGGAAAGAAGACCCACACTTGGGATGAGAAGATGACAACTTCTCGGAAGATATTCTCTGGAACACACACTCCAGAGTTTGCTGCTGTCACACGCACAATTATGACAGTGATATACTATAGAAATATACATAAGGTACATGTATGTATAGAATATATATTTGTGATGCATAAAGAGCCAACCAAAATAGGACCATTTGTTACCAGCATGCAACGTTAAAAATATGATAGAACTGCTGTCAGCTGTGCACTTGCATTCTGGTGGGACAAAAAAATCTTTGTTAATTTTATATATATATATAAAATATATAAATATATATTAATATGGATAAATGGGAGAGTGGATTTCGTTGTAATCAGTATACCAAATATGGCTTTTACAGGGTGACTGTATTGTGTGAATGAGAGTATGTGTTTTGAACTAGATGGTGATTTAGTATACAGTAACTGATGTTTTCTAACATCCACATGCGACTAGTTGTATTAATTCATAATTGTTTATACACCCGTCTCTTTTCCAGCTCTCTTTTTTTTATCGTTTTTAAGATGGTTATACTAAAGTATAGTAGCATGAGAAGAGTTACCGATTTTATCGCTTTTGATCATGAAATCCACTATTGGGCCGATTGCCTATCAGAAAACCAGGATCTCAAATTTTCAATAATGTTTTAAGTCAATTGACAGAAGTACCGAATAGATGGTATTGTACAAGTTATTTGTAAATACGCATTCAGTCACTCGGACTTGTCCAATACAACAGTCAGAAATTGCCAGGCTACATGAAGCAGAGGTATTGTGATATACCACACAAGATTCTTTATTGTAAGGGATATCCCTAATCTTTGAGATTGTCCTATACAGTTGTGTTTAATTGTAATGTCTGCTTGCCATTGTTTTTGGTTTGGGAGGGTCTTGCCAGAGGACACAAGAGAAGGGGTCAGAAGGGTATTAAAAAGTGTGGGTGTTGCTGGAATGACCAGTGGTCAGTGTGCGGTCACCTTACTACTATACAGTTGTCAAAGATCAGGGTACTGGCTCTTTGAGTAGTGTGATTTAACAAAATGTCTCGTGTAGAAATGTTTAATGTAGAGAAATTGACATAAAGCATGATTATTACAACAAAAATATTTTTACCCGTACAATTTGATATTATGTTTATCAAAGGAAGACAAAGGTTTAATTCTTAAACCAACAGCAAGTATCGGTCTGACTTGAAACATCACATCTTTTCAACTAGGTCATTGGAAGTTGGATACTTTCTTTGAAGTACTTTTCTTTTTACAACACAATAAGTGTATGCATGCATTCCCTAGGAGCCAGTTTGCAATTTGAGCTGTGCATGTACAAGGTAAAACATGAAGGGCCCAAACTTGTGAACAGTTTTTGTCTACACCATTCTTGATACATGTCAAGAGATGTTTTGTCTGTCTTGGGCTTTCAAGCTTGACATAATACGCACAATATACATGTACTGACATGTTACGCACAATATACATGTACATGTAGTGACATGTTACGCACAATATACATGTACTGACATGTTACGCACAATATACATGTACATGTACTGACATGTTACGCACAATATACATGTACATGTAGTGACATGTTACGCACAATATACATGTACATGTACTGACATGTTACGCACAATATACATGTACATGTACTGACATGTTACGCACAATATACATGTACTGACATGTTACGCACAATATACATGTACATGTACTGACATGTTACGCACAATATACATGTACTGACATGTTACGCACAATATACATGTACATGTACTGACATGTTACGCACAATATACATGTACATGTACTGACATGTTACGCACAATATACATGTACATGTACTGACATGTTACGCACAATATACATGTACATGTACTGACATGTTACGCACAATATACATGTACATGTACTGACATGTTACGCACAATATACATGTACATGTACTGACATGTTACGCACAATATACATGTACTGACATGTTACGCACAATATACATGTACATGTACTGACATGTTACGCACAATATACATGTACATGTACTGACATGTTACGCACAATATACATGCACTGTGGCATGTTACGCACAATATACATGTACATGTACTGTCATATTATGCACAATGTGCATGCATAGTTTAAACTGCAAACCGGCTTATTCAGTCATCAGATTTGGTCCAAGAAGAGAATTTTTGTAGTGGTTTCCCTTTAATTTTGAGTTGATTTTGAAGGCGTTGTTAGGACGGCACAGTTGGTGTGGGTGGGGTGTGACGTGTTGAACCTCTGATCCTGTGCTGTGCTATGCTTAGGGATGAGGTTGTGAGTGCAGCTCCCAGTGACAAAAGAAAACATTGATAGTAAAACGTTAAACTTTATTTCAACACACTATTTACAGGGATCAAATTTTCAGCGACCACTGTCGCCTTCATCAGGATAATTAATGACCAATCACTTCACAACGTGATCTCGCGAGAGTTACGGTTTACAAACACGTGACCTTGTGACGTTGTGAAGTGATTGGTCATTAATTATCCTGATGAAGACGACAGTGGTCGCTGAAAATTTGATCCCTGTAAATAGTGTGTTGGAATAAAGTTTAACATTTTACTATGATTACTACCAACACAGATGAACTTTCATGATAATCGAAGAAAGCATTGAGTCCATGCTAAGCATGGTAGTCGTTGTGTGAAGCATGGTCTACGTATGGTCCGAGTGAAACTCAAACGTGTGTCATAAATTTGTGCGTGTGTGCGTGATCAAGTCCAGAAGGACGGTTATAGAACTCTTGGGGCGGGGGGGGGGGAGGTTTATGTCTGCCCTTCCTCAACATACCTTTGATGATATGTGCAGCAATTTGTAACTAATTTTACAATTACAGATGATATTTCAAAATGTATATTGAACTTACTATAGATTCCTTTTCAATCTCACTATGACGTAGCTCAGAGTATGATTTTGTGTATTTTTGCTTGCTACCTTTAATAAGGTGTGGTTCTTTCTTATAATGGTAACCTACAACCCACACATGTTAATGTATACTACATGTGAAAAAAAATCACTTGGTAAGTGCTATTTGTAAGGTGTGGTGTTTTGTGAAATTGCTTAAGATACTTTTTAAAAAAAGGTATAAAAGTGCTTTGTGATTAAAACTGTAAATGTCCTGTCTCTGGGATGTACCATCTTGCCCAACTTGTATGAAAAAAAAAAAGAAAGAGGCTTGGTTTAACTCCTAAAAGGAGAGCGGTTTTATAAAATTGAAGGGTATGGGCCCCTTGTATGATGGTGCATCCTATGTAGATACAATTGTACTCATCATACATGTACCTGACCAGATTGTAAAATGTAGCAACTACAGGTATATTAATAATCAGGAGACCTACTATACAAGGTACATTCACCTACATTTATCCTGGCGGCAGTAGTACCTTCCAATAATGGCACTTTAGGTGGAAGAAAATGTCCTATCACGAAGCTTCTTTTACCAACATGGGGCTGTTACAAAAGGTGGTAATTCTGTGCATGTGTGGAGGCCAGGATTTGGAAAACTAGACAAGCAGCATGTTGTGTACTGAGACCCAGGAATGCTAGTACTTGTGACTGGATGTTGCCAACTGTTTTTAATACCGTGCTATGTTACCATATTTTACACAGCACAGACAGTAACTATGGAAGACAGTACATGTACGGAAGCTGGCAACGAGATGTTTTAATCAAAATCCCATCAGAAATTGTCATGAGTTAAACATGAATCAGTCAGCTTTGGTAGAATGACTCGATTGTTCACTCCAGTAGAGGTGATGGAACAACAGGCAATCACAAGTACTACACATCACTGCAGAATGTTGTTTGAATTCCCTGTGCTTTGAATAAAGGCCTTGAGACTACTCCATATGACCTCTTTTTTTTCAAATGACTAATAACTTTCAAAGGATTGAATTTGATCAATCATGCAGATTTTTTTCCTTCTATAAATGAAAGGGCTATCTAATACTATTTGTTTTGCTGTGTGCTTGCCATAAGCACTTGTATTACTTAAAAATTATATATACATATACAAATACTATTGTCTCACTCAAAAATCCACAGCATGTCCACAATACAAGATACATGTATATATCCATATACCCTGCTGTGGTACCTCGCAAAACTGCTAGAGTACCCAAAATTGACTGACCTTCGTTGTCTTAAACTACCTACCAGATATCAAAGATATATGCTCCACGTCCCGAGTTATAACCGACTAAAACATCAACAACCCCTATATATGGTGTACCTAAACGCATAGCCTTCTGACAAAGGTAATAATCATAAATAATGGTATAATACTCGCAAAAAAAAACAGGCTACCAGGTATGTGTGTTGTAGACCTATCAAAAGAAAACTCTTCAATATAATCTAAACCTTCACTGGGATCCTTTTGGAGAAGCAAAGCCAATTCATTGTTGCCATGTTCAACAAGTATTGTAGGAGACCAGCACATGGCAACAAGGAAGTTACGTTTGCTCCTTCAAAAGGATTCCAAGGAAGCTATGCATTATTGATGTTTAATTAAGGCTTTTTTTCTACTGATTAAGTCTAGGCCGCACATAACCTATGTTCACCAGCAAAATATTATTATTTATAACATCACAAAACACGGGAAGTAGTCTGGATATGGGTTGGTGTTGTGAGGTTATCAAGCTGCTCTTTTTGAGAACCCCATATAAACTCGTCTAAGGATGTCGTACAAGGTGCACAGATGATCACGGCGTATAGTAAAAGGTGGGTTTTATGGTAACACATTATTACAATAGTTCATAATCTGAAACGTCTTGCATATTTTGCCTTTTCACACAGTGATGTGTATTACTGAGCACTTGTTATAGATATGATAATTATGAATCTTTATTGCATGTTCTTGCCCAGGTTGGCTAAATGCACAAATGTGACCAAATGTGGTCGAGAAGATAAAAAATATTTTATATACTGGAACGCTATATTCTAATGCTAAGTGCTATATATTACAACAATACTATTACTACCTATCATCTACAGTTAGTTGCCCTTTCTTCTCTCTTTTTGAAACACCTGGAAACATTACTACGCACATCGGGAAAGAGAAATCTGCCATTGCTTTATTGCAACATATGACCACTTCCTTGCATACTTAGGTTTTGAATATAGGCTTCTCGAACATAACAACATAGGAAAGTTATGCTGTACAGTAGATATGGCCTAGGGCGTACTGCAAGCAACAGTGTTTAACAACCAATGCAATTTAGGGGGGGGGGAGGTAAAACGAAACAAAAATATTGTGGATAGGGAAATCTGACATTTACTACCTTTTAGTACATTTTCGTCATCATTTCATACTTGAAGCATTTGACATAGCTCCAAAATAAGCTACTTGAGGCTTCTCTTTATTTTTTGTACCGCCTGTAATTATAAATAGCTAGAATCAGCCTGCAATACAAAACAAGCAACTGTTTCCGTCAGTGACATTGCATTTTTCCCTCAGAAAAAATGCTATGGGATAAGTTTGATTCAATTTATATATATTTAGGCCACAGCAAGTAATTTTTATGGATGACATCAGTGCGCGTATTAATTTTTGCCTGATTTTGAGAAAAAGTTAAATTTTGTTGCCCTCTGACAGTGTTCAACATGCAAAAAATGGGCAAATATGTCTTTTGCCATGCCGGAACATGAATGAAGAGAGGAGACAACACAAGGCTCCAATGTGTTTTGTATTTTGCTTTTATGCAGTGATGTATTTCATTCCTTTTATATGTGATGTTCTCCCTTAATCTGTACAATTGATTGAAAACTTTTATTTTACAGTAAGGCCATGTTGATTTGATTATATGGATGACATCCTCTGGGAACCCCAAAACTGATGCGCGCGTGCGAATAAAAAAAAAGTTTTGCAAAAAAAAAAAAGCTGCTTTCACTATGAAATCTACGTGGTCAAGAAGGTGGAACAAATGGCACAGAATATGTTATGGCGAATAATCTACTCTTCGAATTCATTTCGTTACATTTTTGTCCTTTTTCCTTTGATTTTGGCATTCTACGACATTGGTATCGTTTCTAAATGTTTTCCTTGCAACTTATGGTATATTTTTGCTCATTTAGCAACTGTTTTGCACGATTTACAGTATGGTTGAAAACTTTTTTTTTTTGGAAACGGCCGAAAATTCATGCGCGCGCGGATGTCATCCATATAATCAAATCAACATGGCCTAACAAATGAATGTTGTAATACTTAGTAGTTGGCAGTTGACTTTTATTTCTTGTCGAACAAGGTTTATGATGTAGAAATGTGAACATGTAGAAATGTTGTGGGTTTTTTTTTGGCCCGCCTTGTTTTTTTTTTACTCTTTCACAATAGATTTGGAGTTAACAAAGGATTTTATCCATACAATCTACTTGCTGTGGCATTACTACATGAAAAAAAGACCAGAAAATCCGGTTTTAGTGCCCTGACATTGTATTGGATGACTTTAAGATTTCCTACTGGATGTTTAGATTATTTGGTATGCCTGTGTGTCACACAGGCTGGGCACATAAACTAGCGCAAGACACGTTGATAAAGCTTCACCCATCCATTTATCAACAAGAACATTTTATAACTTTTGCATTATTCACTCCTTCAGGCTGCTTCAACATAAACACCATACGGCGAATTCACCCAGACTCCTGCCACCTGGCGGATTCAGAGTGACTTGCTGTGTTGGGCAAGCACTAGCTCTCTATCTAGAACTCGATGTAGCTTTACAGCTCATTCAAAGACTGGTAGTATATCCTAAAACATTTGCAGTGTCATGCTGGACTAGAGTATTGTAAAAAGACATAAAGAGACTACAATGTCTGGTACAAAGATCTTGCTGCTTCTGTTCTGCTTTGCGTTTGAGCCGTCTCAGCCTGGCCAGTCTTGCCAAGACCTCTGTACAGTCAAGCGTTCTGAGCCATGTGAGGTACGCAGGGAAGTCGCTAGGGGGCTCTCGACTTCAGGGCAGCCTTGTGCCATCTGCAACACGACCGGGCAGACCGATGAGGATCAGCTCGGGTGTCTGCCTGCCTCTCTGACGATGCTGCAAGTCGCGGGGCACTCCGACAGCAGCGGCAAGCTCAAACCGCTGCCTGGACTTACCCAGCTCCGCACTCTGATTCTGGGGCCTGGGCGCATCCGGACCGTTCAAAATGGTACCTTCTCCGTGGTCCCAAATGTTACTACCCTGAACATGGCAAAGAACGCCTTTGAGGCCATTGGAAGCTGGTTTGACGGAATCGCGAAGCTGAAAAGTCTCAACCTGTCTTGGAACGAAGTCGAGCAAATCGACGAGAATGCCCTCCAGCCACTGGTACAGCTACAGTCTCTCGACCTCAGCCATAACCGGTTCCAGGCTGTTGAAGAGCGGCACTTCGCAAATCTGACCAACCTCAAGTCCCTGCACTTGAACAACAACAACATCTCATGCATCGCCGGGAAGGCCTTCAGTCATCTTCGCAGCCTGATGGTGCTCGACTTGGCTCACAACAGGTTACGGTCTCTGAACGCAGACTGGCTGCAAGGACTGACCGCTCTGAGGAACGCCAACTTTCGACACAACCTGATCTCGACCGTCTCGATGGAGCTACTGGCGGCCATGAGCGGAAGGGTTATCGACTTTCGAGAGAACCCTCTCCGCTGCACCTGTGCCGTGAGTGGGCTAAAGACCGGGAGGGTTAGAGCAGCAATGGACTGGCGGGTCTACAACAACCTGCGGTGCGGTTACCCTCCAAGCCTCTCGGGGGTAAAACTTGTCGCCCTGTACGCGGAGAGCATGCCGTGCCCGGGACCGACAGCCAGTGTTTCACGTCGCGATAACGGATACACTCTCGTGTGTGAGGTCTTCTGGGAGTTCCAGCCGGCCATCCTGAGGTGTGTGGATCCTAGAGGGAGAGTTGTTAAAGAGGGAACTGCCAACGTAAGCTACGACGACTGTGGCGGTGCTGGAACCACACGCTTGGAGCACGAGTTTCCCACCACCCAGTCTCCTGGAAGAGGAACGGCGCACTCGTCAGACCAAAAGGCATTGCCCTACATTGGAAAGTCCACCTGCACCATCCACATGAATCAGGGACTCTACCAGTGCTGGAAGGGAGGTACTGTCCGGTGTGTGGTGCAATCCAGTACCTGGAGCTCGATGGGCGCTCTGAATCTGACACTGAACGTGTCATCTGATGAGGCAAGTGGAAAGGGCCAGAGACAAGAGACCACCGTCACGACAGCCATCTACACCGAAACTCCTGCTCAGCGGAATGCAAGCGTAACAGAGAACGTCAGACAAACCTCGTACAAGAACACCCAGCACTGGCAGCAGGATGGTTCGGACACAAAGTCGCCCACCCTGAAGACAGACGTCCACACTAAAACCTCTGCTCAGCGGAATGCAACAGAAACAGAGGCTACAGAAACAGAGGCCGAGTGGAATGCAACAGAGACAGAGGTTACGGACAGAAACATCCAACAGGATGGTAACTCTCCAAAAGCTGACACAAAGTCGCCCACCGTGATGACAGACGTCCACACTAAAACCTCTGCCCAGTGGAATGCAATAGAAACAGAGGCTACGGACAGAGCCATCCCACAGGATGGTAACTCTACAAGAGCTGACACAAAATGGCCCACCGGAATGATAGCCGTCTATATCTTAAGTGCATCCCTGGCGCTGTTCTTTCCCATTGTGGTAACGGTCGTCTGCTTGAAGTACCACAAGAGGCATCAACATCAGCATTACTACTCACAAGGCAATACAGCAGACGCCATCGGAGATGCTGTTGTTTGTGTCATCAGATTCGCTATCGGAAGCCCACCGCTGCAAGACACCCACACACAGGCCCCGGCTGCTCCCACGACTGTGAACCCTACACCGGTTCAGCGCACGGATGAAGAGAAGCCGGACGAAGGCGACACAGCCAGTGCCCAAACGACGCGTATGGAAAACCCCTCGTGCGGCACAGACGCCACGGAGCCAAAAGGGGCCACATCCAACCCGGACCGGGACCCTCGTCCCCGATCAAACATCCCTACCAACTCCAAGGCCTCATCACAACCTCAAGGCTCGGGAATAACTCAGGCTGGAGAGATCCCAGATCCACCTCCACGACCCGACAATTCAATCTCGCACAATCCACCTCGCCCGGAGACTCTAGGAGAAGAAATTCCGGATCCACTTCCACGGACCCACACGAACACCAACTCTAACGTCTCAGCACAACCACAAGACCCGGAGACGACTTGTAAAGAAATCCCACCGGATCCACTTCCACGAATCGTTACAGCAAAGGCACAGGGTTCTGTGATAACTCATGATCTGGAAGAAGAAATCCCACCGGATCCACTTCCACGTATCCACACATACATCAACTCTAACATCACATCACAACCACGACTGAAGATGACAAGTGATCCAGAAGAAATCCCACCGGATCCACTTCCACGCATCCCCATGTCCGTCAACCCTAACGTCACATCACAGCCCCGACTAAGAATGACTGATGATCCAGAAGAAATCCCGCCGGATCCACTTCCACGTATCCACACATACGTCAACACATCACAACTACGACAGAAGATGACTAGTGACCCAGAAAAGGAAATCCCGCCGGATCCACTTCCACGCATCCCCATGTCCGTCAATCCTAACGTCACATCACAGCCCCGGCTAAGAATGACTGATGATCCAGAAGAAATCCCGCCGGATCCACTTCCACGCATCCACACATACGTCAACACATCACAACCACGGCTGAAGATGACAAGTGATCCAGAAGAAATCCCGCCAAATCCACTTCCACGCATCCCCATGTCCGTCAATGCTAACGTCACATCACAGCCACGTCTGAGAATGACTCATGATCCACAAGAAATCCCGCCGGATCCACTTCCACGTATCCACACATACGTCAACACATCACAACCACGGCTGAAGATGACACAAAATCCAGAAGACGAAATCCCACCGGATCCACTTCCACGCATCCCCATGTCCGTCAACTCTAATGTCACATCACAGCCACGTCTGAGAATGACTGATGATCCAGAAGAAATCCCGCCGGATCCACTTCCACGTATCCACACATACGTGAACTGTAACATCACATCACAACCACGCCTGAAGGTAACTTGTGATCCAGAAAAGGAAATCCCGCCGGATCCACTTCCACGCATCCCCATGTCCGTCAACCCTAACGTCACATCACAGCCACGCCTGAAGATGACTTGTGATCCAGAAGAAGAAATCCCACCGGATCCACTTCCACGCACCCACACATACGTCAACACATCACAACTACGACAGAAGATGACTAGTGACCCAGAAAAAATCCCAGATCCACTTCCACGCACCCACTTCAACCCTAACGCACAACCACCGGTAGCCCGCACAACTGAAAACCCTACACAGCTTCGGCACACATTTGAGGGGATCCCGGACACAAATGCCGTTGGTGCAGAACTAACGGAACCTCAAGGCTTGGGGAGGGACGAAGGAGAAGAAGTCGAGAGCCCCAACATTTATGACAACCTCAACAGAGAATCACGCCTCACTAGCACGGAGATACAGCAGGTAGAGAAAATCCCGGATCCACTTCCACGAACGCAAACGTACGGTAACTCTAACGTCTCAACACAACCACAAGGCTCGGAGACTCCAGCAGAGGAGATCCCAGATCCACCTCCACAAATTCACACCTACGTCAACTCTAGATCTAACGTCTCACCACAACCACAAGGCCAGATGATGACGACTTGTGAAGAATTCCCTGATCTACTCCCACGTACTTACACGTACCCCAACTCTACCGTCCGACCAGGGGCCCACCGTACGGTACTCTAACGTCCAGCCATCGGATCCTGCACCCATGATTGGGGCTACATCACTTCAGCACACAGAAGAAGAGAAGGACGAAGGCGACATAGTCATTACTAAAACGACACGTTACGGCTTGGAAAACCCCGTGTATGACGTACCACAAAACTTGGGGATCGACCAAGCAGAAGAAGTCAACCTCAACAGACAACCACTCCTCTCTAGCACAGAGATACAGAACACCTCAGATACACTTCCATGTACTCACACGGACTCTAACGTCCAGCCATTAGATCCTTCCCCCACGATTGGGGCTACATCACTTCATCACACAGAAGAAGAGAAGGACGAAGACGACAAACACATTACTAAAACGACGCGTTACGGCTTGGAAAACCCCGTGTATGACGTACCACAAAACTTGGGGATCGACGAAGGAGAAGTCAACCTCAACAGACAGTCACTCCTCTCTAGCACAGAGATACAGAACACCCCAGATCCGCTTCCATGTACCCACACGTACGATAACTCTAACGTCCAGCCATCGGGTCCTGCCCCCATGATTGGGGCTACACCGCTCCAGCACACAGAAGACGAGATACCGACAGAAGGCGACATAGTCATTACTAAAACGACGCGTTACGGTTTAGAAAACCCCGTGTATGGCACAGACGTAACGGAGCCCAAAACTGCCAAGTCCCACCCGGACACTCGGCCCTAAAAGTACTTTACGTACCTAAACGCCCAGATGTTGATTGTATATCCAGCTTTACAAAGTTTTTTTTCTTAAAGCTGGTTCGATTCGGGCATGGATCTGTCCAGGTACTGTAAAAGCCACTCTGTTAATTTTTTTCTGTTTGTTTAAGGTAGTGAAGTCGAGCATAAGCATACAGATTTGATGCTATGGATAACATGGTGTGATTGTAATGTTAAACGTTGATACAGAAAATAAGGAATCCTAGGCCTTTATTTGATGCAGTTCATGTCTTGTGTTTATTATTATGCACGTATAACCTTTACAAATTCCATAGTTGGAAAATGGCTAAAAAGAAAGCTCTGTTAAGGAATATTAAAAGTACGTAATAGTTAGAGTATGATTCTTGAATTCGTGAGTTTGCTTCATGCAGGAGACTGAGAGAAAAAAAAAACAAAAACAAAAAAAACAAACAAAAACAAAAAAAAGCAAGGGAAACCAGACTCAGTAAGTCACGTAGAAAGCCGTTGAATATACCAGTCAACTACTTACCTGTCTGAGACTCTGCGTCACTACAGCTGAATGCTATCTCAACAGTTTCCCCGGAATTCTTTTGAAAAAGCAAAACTTATATAATAGCAAAGTCTTGTTTATTCATCGTTGCCATGTGCAGGTACACATTTAGTATAGATTGTCTGGACGTGATCAGTTTGTTGAACCCTAGGTCGTTTAGTTCTCGTCCTGACCCTTTCGTAAGGCCACACCGATTTAATTTTATGGATGACATCCTCTGAAGACCCCCAAACTTGTGCACGCGGGCGAATAAAAAAAATTCCGGCCAAAAATAAAAATGCTACTGAACCACAGGAATACAAAGCTGGTATTGTGAATTCCCGACAGTACATAGTGACGTATACGACAAGCCGGCACATGCTGGCTTTTTTTGGCATTTATGAATCGGTACTATACTTATGTACTGAGTTCTTGAGTCGTGGAGCTTCGAATTCGATAGCTTGGGTGCTCGGCTCCGTTTTGTCGCTGACTAGAAACCCAGGCCTAGAGCAAGGCAAGAGCCTCGGTGGAGGTGATCTTTTTTTTTTTTTTTTGTAGGGTCGACAGGCGAACATCAATGCGCGCGCGGATGTCATCCATAAAATTAAGTCGGTGTGGCCTAATATAAGAAAAACTAGAGTTGGAAGATCCCATACATTTGCCAAGAATCATGATCACATTATGTGAATGTGCCATTATTTGCATAACCTATGCAGGGTGATTTTCTAACCTAGCTAGCATATGTTATACGTCACAAATAAAATAATATAGATCAGTGCCATCATTTACCACAAAGCTATTACCCACCCTTACATTGATTATACAAATGGGGTCATCATTTGCATTATGTATAACGTTACCTAATATAACGTTAACTGTTTACATGTATGAAAGTGCCGCTTCAGTACCATAGACAGCCACAAGTGAGCCCACATTCGGACTTGAAATCTCGCGAAATCTCGCAGTCATGGAAACGTAGACGTGAATATCAGCACCGTAGGCCGTACAGGTCGGTGAAATTTTCCCAGTACATAATCTATATTTTAAGCCCGGCCTAAAATGTTTCGTGTTCTGAACTTCAGGCCTCAACTTGCTGTTTCTTAAACAACTGGCAGGTGGCGCTCTTAACAGGATATTCTTACGCTTAAAAATTTCGTTAAAGATAAGGACTGAGTACAGTTGTATACAGCCAAATAGTAAGACATCGTCTAAGATCTAAAGAAAATATATATAAAATCCCAAATACTTGTATAAAAAACATTTAGAAAACAAACACGCTACCACGCTAAAATGTTGATAAACCTTAGAAGACCTCTCGACGTCACATCCGGGCTTGTGGCGCAACGGATAACGCGTCTGACTACGGATCAGAAGATTCCAGGTTCGAATCCTGGCAAGCTCGATTTTTTTTCAACTCGAAATTTTCTTCCTTTATCTTCTTTCCCTTTTTCTAGTATATACTTTTATTTTTCTGTCCAGTTGATGCTTTTCTTCTTAAAAAAAAAAAGGTCTCACAATGAAAGTTAATTACTATGTCAGTGGCCATGCTCTTTATAATCTAAGTTCAAATAACTCACGAAGCAATGGATGGGTTGTTCTTACTCACTTTGAAACCGTCGTCTTTTAGTCACTTCTGAACATGATATTGTCGTGATTTCTGCAAGAAACGATAAGCCGTTAGCGCCTCCTGTCGGACTTTAGCAGTAGTGCCGTTCTAGACACCTTTCCAAATACTAGCGCCTGGGTCCTGTAGCGGCTGGAAAGAGAGATAACATGCATGCCGAGGAAGTTTGTCCGCTAGAGAGTACATTTTGCCGCACCCCCCAAAAATGTACTTTCTATAGACCTAGCGGACTAACTCCCTCGGCATGTTATCTCTCTATTTGGTCATTCTACTCTTCCAGCCGCCTCCCGAAGCCTGGTAGAGGCTACCAAAGCCTAGCCTGCTCACGTACATGTATCGGTTTGGCCCCTTTCCCACTAGGATAAAGTTATCCGGATCGAGCCGAATCGATTCGCTTTGATCGGACAATTTTATCGTAGTGTAAAGGAATGGGGCCCTAGTCGAAAACAACTTGTGTCCAATGAGCGTGCGTTATTCCCTCACGTGACCACGCCGTGCCCCCCTTTGCCGTCACCCCTGTAACAGGTGTTTGTATAGGGCGGACCGGGAACATGTCAGCCGGTACCTCAACCTTTGTCTCGGCCGACCCGGGGCCAAAGACCACCAAAACCACACCCCCTTTTCACCCCAAAATCAGGTGAGTACACTCCGAAATCCAACATGGTGGCAGCCGCTACTCTGGTCTAGTCCTCTCTTCTAAAGATCCACTCAATTTTAAAGGTACGTACCAGTAGTAAGGTTTATGCGCTTGGTACATATACAGTAGGCGTGGCAGTCAGAGCTCTAAATCATTGTTGACGATCGTACAAAAGTGTTTGGCTCAAGTTACAGCATTAGTGTCGTGTTTCTGAGCCACAAGACAGTTGCTCAATGGGATGAGATAACTTCATATGAAAACTGATCTGATCTGCAGTAGATCAGTTTCTGATAGTCGTTTCTATACAAGTTGTTTGCGAACATCTAATTCATGTCATAGAAAACGAGGCTTGAAGTGAACCTTTGTCGTGTTTCTAAAGATTCTTTCGCAGTCGGGGACAAACTTCAATTTTGTTGTTGGGCTAGAAGATCGTGAGATATCGTAACCAGGCACAAGCTGACCACCCTTCAATTATTGTTTATTCTGTGGAAATTTACAATACTTAAAAATAGACTAACACGACTTGTGACACGTTCATGTTCCCAGGTCTTTTCTTTTTTAAATTTTTTAACAACTCTTTAACTATCCATGTTCATTGTTATGCTGTACACAAGTGCACAACTTGAACGATTTTATGTATTTGTAGTTGACATGTTGTTGATGTTTATGTTCACTCGTTATTATTTGTACCCCCAAAAAAGTGCATTGCATTAAAATACAACACTCTTAATAGTGTGGGCCATGGAAAACTTATCAAGAAATTATACTGGTTACATTTTACTCCCAAGGAAGCAAAGAGATACTTTTGAATTGTCTCAAATATCTGTGAGGTGTTTTTATCGTAACACTCGGCTGCTATGTTGTCTGTGAGGTTGAAAGAATGGCAATTCGGTATGAATAATAAAGGGGGGGGGGGGGTGTGAAGTCTGCTATCTCTGATTGCCGTGTTTGAACTATTTTTATAAAACGTGGCCATAAACTGACAAAGTAGGTGGTCATTATGCTACATTGTGTACCCAATGCTGATGTCAGACAACTACTAAGGGTCATTTATGACATTATTACCATAGAAACTATCTCTAAAGCACACAGCGTCACTGCGTAAGTGTGGTGGTATAAAGCAATAACATTACGTTACTAAAATAATTCCAACATGCTCAAGTTCTACAGCTTCTTGTATATACACCTTTGAGAGGCTTTTGAATTTGAATGGTCGATCGCTACTTAGTACTAGCAATATGTTCAAGCTATGATTATAAATAGTTGTTCCCAACAAACCGGTTCTATAGTAATTACCTTAACTCTTTGTCAATTTCCCTGATTTTATTTCATGCCACAGTCCTCTCTCTTCTTTTCTTGTTTTCAAAGTCATTGGTGTTTGAGTGTTCGAAAGGACAGGTCTTTAGAAAATATGTACAAAGAACTACCAACCACCGTTATGTTTACCGTACTGGATGCATGGATGGCATTCTGTAACAGTGGACTAAAGGCTAGCGCTATGGTACGTAATGACAGTAAACATCCGAATGCCCATAGCTTTACATGTTTGGTGCGGCTGTCACAGTCAGTTGCTAGCTTACGTCGTTTTTAAGTTTACACAAATGAATCATTGCAGTTTAGTTAGTCATTATTTGATATTCAAACATCATGTTAGCTTGTTGACCTGTCTGTCGGACAGCTATAGCCTGGGTGCCAGACCCACAGCACACTATATAGGCTCCTGTACACAGGATAACTTTGAGCCTAGTGTGCTGTGGTGGGTCTGGCACCCAGGCTAGGTGACAGCTTATCATAGACCATGTTGTGGGCCGGTCGGTCACATTCATCGTAGGATCGGTTCACGATTTGATGGCATTCTTGTGACAGTCGTGTATTTGTCGTGCAATGATTTCAGCTGTCTTGAGGACGTACATCCTTGTCGTGAGTCGCTTCTGTCCTAGTCTCACTGACCGAAAAACAATCGTACCACACTCGTGCGTATGTACCACTATCTGAACTACCCCAACACACATCACTTGAGAAGTTCAAACAAGGACTACTAGAGTAAATATGGGGGCTTTAATAAGTAAAAAAGCACATACGATGTTACACATTTGTCTCTTTTTAAATAACTGTATGTAATGCAAGTTTTATGTAATTTGAACGTTGATGTATTTGTTGTCCTTCTGTACTCTACCCTCTCCTGGAAGAATAGCTGTCACCCATGGATGGACAGCTAAAGGAGAGCTGATCCAGAATAAACCAGAATAACTTGCCTTCTCTCTGAAAAAATCCACACGTAATGGTAGCCTAGTGACCTTGAAGTCGATAACGCTTGGCTTGAAAACACTCCCACACAACAAAGAAGGCTTTCATCTGCGTTATAACAGTACCAGGCCGTTTCTCTGGCACAGTGCACAGTCCACCTGTTCTATTCAAGCAAGGTATCGACCTATTACGGTAACCCTGTTAGGTAAGTTTGTCTAGGTTTCGCATGCAAATGTTTACAAGTACTACATAGTGACTTCTAGATCTCTTAGGCCTGTTTTTCAACGTAACGTTGCCATTGCAATGGCAAATAAAAATGTAGCTTCGAAATCACAACAAGCTTCATTGATACTATAATATAATGATAGGGTGATTTTGGGGGAAATTATTTCGTCAAGGAAACAGATACACAGGGAATAGCTGTAGGAGTAGCAATGAAAGGGGAAAAAATACATTACGAGCTTGGCACCGTAAAACATGCATTGTGTTCGACCGTGTCATATTTGTTTAAGACTTTCCATCGTTTGTGTATTGATTACTTTTTTAAGAGGCTCAAACCTTTTCTTTTGCTGACAGTCTTTGTGTAGGTTTGGCCTGTTCAGTATTTGGTTACTTTGCTGATGGGTTGTTTATTTGTTTCTTTCTTTGTTAGTTAGTTCGTAGATGTGTCGTAAAATTGCTTCCCTGAGAAGACAGATACCTGTTGCCCCCCCCCCCAATAACACCTAAAAACAACAATTGGCCTCAAGGAACATTCCTGACTACCTGGTTGACCCAGATACTAGTAAGTACTAGCCCTATTTTCACTGAGGAAATAAGATGGTAGCTACACTCGTTTAAAACACCTGCGGAGGGTCATTACCTCCATGAAAAATGGAGGTATTGTTTTTGGCGGCGTCTGTCTGTGTGTCTGTGTGTGTGTCTGTGTGTGTTTCCGCAACTTTGTAGTCAGCATAACTTCATAACGCCTTTATGGATTGTGATGATATTTGGTATGCTGATAAGTCTTAGGAAGACAAAGGTCAAGGTCAAATATGGGCCTCCTGGTGGATGACCTTGGTACTGCAGCAGAACTTCCGGTTTTTGCATCTTTGGTCCTGAACATGCTATGGTCTTGAATTTTTGGTGACAGATAGCTTTTTCTGTCAGGAATAAGTGGTGTGGGTTTGGTCCCCCTAGCAGCTTGTTCAGGAACTGCAGGGGACTTTCGGGCGAAATCTTTGAAAGCCAATAAGTCCAGATAGGAACAGCGTATTTTCATCGTTTTTGGTGTGTAGGTATCTGACAGAGAGATGTACATAATTAACTGCAAATTATGCAAATGAGGACTTTATTTGCATAATTAATGAGGAAATTCTATAATTACAGTGTTTTACATTATAGAACTTTCATACATGTAATGTATGTAACCTATGGCAGATGGAACATCAACAGATACTAATTATGCAAATGATGACCTAATTTGCATAATTAATGCAAAAAATCTATGATTTCTCAATGGTGAATGATGGGAATGTCATACTTGGGACATCTTTAAGTTAATCAAAAGTTAACATCATGATGCATATATTATGTTAATGCAGAGGTCATTTGCGTAATTAAAGAAGAAATTTACATTTATATATCAAGCCCATATTTCATGGAGGTATGAGATCTCGGAACTCTTGTTTCAATCTTTGTTTTACGTTCTCTTCTGGGCAAATGCTAGCCTCTACAAGGCGTGGGGAGGCAGCTGGAAAGAGTAGAAATCGACCAAATAGAGAGATAAACATGCCAAGGGAGTTTGTCCGTTGAGAAACACGGGGTGCGGCGAAATGTTCTCTCAACGGCGAAATGTTCTCTCAACGGACAAACTCCCTTGGCATGCTTATCTCTCTATTTGGTCGATTTCTAATCTTTGCAGCCGCCTCCCCAAGCCTGGTAGAGGCTAGGCAGATGCGACCCGAACGATGTAAAACTGTTGTTGTCCATTTCAGGGATGTATTTCAAAGGACTCTCTGTTCCGATTCACCTAGCTAACGCGCTTAGACACTTCCGTTGTTGTGTAAATATAAACTTAGTCTGATAATCTATTTGCTGTTTGATCTGCCCATTAGACCTTACCTTAGACCTTAGATCCTCCCGCAACCTTGTTGCATACATTTGTAGGTCGACTCCTTGTCTGACTTTTTGTCTCCAAAGGTTTCGGTCTTGCGCCACTACTGCCATATCCTTAAGTGAGTTAAGTCCAAGTTTTACCCCATCATTTTGTAGTGTTTTCCGCAAAGTGACTCTAGGCCGCCCTCTCGGGCGTGTGCCTTCTGGCTTCCATGTTAGAGCTGTTTTTGTGGTTCTGGGATCAGGGAGTCTCCACACATGTCCAACAAAGCTCAATCTCCTTTTCATTACAGTCGCACTGAGAGATGGAACCTTGGCTCTTTGCATGAGCTCCTCATTTGATACGTGGTCACGCCAGGAGATGCCTAGTATAGTTCTGAGGCATCTACGCTGGAAGGTGTCTAACATTTGCACTGTATTTTTGGTGCTTCTCCAGGACTCACATGCATATATAGCAGTTGGTACCACAGTGGACTGGAAAAGCTTCATCTTTAGCGGAATGCTAATTTGCTTGGAGCGCCACATTTTTCTTAGACGCTGCCCCATTAGAAGGGCTCAAAATACTTGCATAATCTGCAAGTGTGGGGGTATTTCTGATCTCAGGTAAAAGTGTTTCTATCCCTGTTACGTAATACGTAAAAAAAACCATTGTCCTCGTACTAAGCAGGCAAAAGGTCAGCTAAGGTGACTTTGATTGACGATGTAAACACATAGTTACACAGTAACGCGAGAGTGGGGTGTACATGTCAGGAAAAAAATGGGGAGGGGGGCGTCATTCTTCCATGTGAGTTCTTCCATGAGTCTCCGTCAAGCATAACAGCCTGGTTTGTTTACATCCTTCTACTAAACCAAACGTTTGGTTTAAAAACGCCAGAGTGTTCGGCTCAGAACCAAGATGTCCCGGGTTCGAATCCCGATCTTGTGTCCTTGGGAAAGGCACTTCACACGACTTTTCACTTTACTCAGGTGCAGGAAATGAGTATTGTCATAGAGTTCTGCGTTGGTAGCGGAATAAAATAAGTTTTGTGTTGGAATGATAAAGTTTAACATTGTACTATGATCACCACCAACAAAGATGAACTTCTATGATATTGTAATTTCGAGGGGATTCATTCCTCAGCTAACCGACATCTTGCACACGCAGTCGTCCCTCAGTATTTAAAGACATCTGGAGCTGCATAGTTCCCGTTTAGAACTTTTATTCAGCCTGTCACACAACCAGTTTCACCTGTGTGGCTTCTTAAGTGTACAGAGGCTAAATGAAACAATTAACATGAAGTTCTCACTTATATACCTTTCCAGTGCAATAATGCCCTGATCAGTTACATGAGTTCGTAGTGCTCTGATGAACTTGATGAACTTCTATGATATTGTTCTTGGCCGTATCAAAATGATTCCCGTACTCCTGGTTTCAGTCCGTCCGAAGAGTCCCGGACCATGGCGCCTGACCCTGTCGCGGCGGATGTGGTGGTGACTAAGAACAGTGCCAGTTCCACGGCTCGAGACTTAGGGCTCACCGAACAACAAGAGAAGAAAGAAACTTGCGGCTGGGGCACAGTCAGGCCGACATGTCTGCAGGTACCGTGGCCCATAAGTACAAGAAATTGAAAGATGAATAATAATAATTTTGATGCACAACAATTGTACAGAGTACAAAGTATGTACATTACTACAAGTTCGTGATGAAACGTTGTACGTACAATCGTATTTCCAACATTGACATTGAAAATATAATTGTCCTCATGCAAGTTTTACTTTGTTAAACTGTATAGTATAAGTTGGATCACTAGAGATCGTCTAAGTCTAAAAAAATCCCCACCTACCAATTCTGCCTTAAGAGCCATGCTGGCTCAGAAGAGGACTAAGTAAGTAAGTACTAGTACCTGCCAACCTTAATTCTTTTCAGAACTGAAACAGGAAACACAACATTTTTCCAAGGCCTAAGGTCCGCTATCTTTGATTATCTTTTTATCCATTATCCTTTTTTTCCTCCAGTGCTGCAACAATCCGAACGGAGTCTTGTTCTTCCTGTGTCTGTTCTCCTTCACACAAGGCGTTATTGTGAACGGGCTGGTGAATGTGAGCATCACGTCCATAGAGACCAGGTTCGAACTGCCCAGCGCCAACACAGGGATCGTCTCCGCTAGTTACGACATCGCCTTTGTGGTTCTGGCTTTGTTCGTAACGTACCACGCAGGTCTGTATGTGTATCTGTATCTGTATCTGTATAGCCAGTTTAACCACCCTTCGGCGTAACACACCAGCTTCTGTATCTGTATAGCCGGTATAACCGCCCTTCGGCGTAACACACCAGTTATAGAACTGGGGGTTTGGTGGTCTTCGGCTGTTTTCTGATTAGCCCAGTTCTAAAAACCGGAGTAATTCAATCAGGCCGGCTATGTTGTCTATATGCAATCAGAAAAATAGCACACAAAAGCTCCCAAATTGGCCAATTTGATCGTTGATGACCGGCTACCTTCTCTCGCCAATTAATACCCTTTTAGGTCGATTTCTACGATTTATTCAGCCTACAAAAGAAGTCTGGTGGAGACTACTGAAGACCACCCAAACCCCACAGTTTTTGGTATGCTTTGGAGGTTAACACTATCGCCCCTTTCACCCCAGGTCAGGGCAACAGCAAACCCAAGTGGCTGGCGTTCGGGAGTTTCTCTTTAGGTCTGGGCGCCCTGGTCTACTCCCTCCCCCACTTCACCACCGGTCCGTACGTGTACGGCACGGGCCAGACGGAGACATGCGACATCGGGGGGAACTCCACCAGCCAGGACTGTAGCAGTGGCACTACCGGCAGTGGTCTGCGGAACTATCTCTACGTCTTTATTTTAGGTAAAATTACACTTGATTCGTGCCTTGTTTATAAAATAAACTCAGTAGACTGACCCAGAGAGACTTGTCACGTGGCCTCTCTCACATGAGACGTCAACACTGGGTCAGTCTATTAAAGAAGGCCAGAGTGACTGGTCAAAAGCTCTAGTTGAGAACAATTCTTTAATTTGTGTTAGAACAAAAGTTTTAAATTTAAACATAACATCCAACACAGATGAACTTTCACGGTCTTATAAGAGCTGTCAACAAGTCTTATTTGTTTACAAAGTTGTTAAAGTGTAGATTTCTTGATGTTCAGGCCAGCTTCTACACGGTGTAGGCGGCACACCCCTGTACACGCTGGGAACGACGTTCCTGGACGAAAACGTGGAGAAAGCGAACTCTGGAGTTTACATAGGTGAGTCATAACGTGTATTAATTACATACAAGGCAATCGGCCATTCCATGATGAACGGTACCTCCTTTTCCGTATACCTGTGTTCGACCCATGATGGGCTGTACCTCCTTTTCCGGATACCTGTGTTCTGGCCATGATGGACTGTGCCTTCTTTTCCGTATACCCGTGTTCGACCCATGATGGACTGCACCTCCTTTTCCGTATACCCGTGTTCTGAACACAATGGACTATGCCTCCTTTTCTGTATACCTGAGTTCTGAACATGTTGGATTGTGCCTCTTTTTCCGTATACCTGTGTTCTGTGTCCCACGCAAATGTTGATTATCGCTGAAAATCATGACGTAATCTATTGTTTCCAGGACTATTTTACATTGGTGGGTCATAATGTGTATAGGTTTTGTACAACACAATCGTCCGTACCATGATGGACTGAACCTCCTTTTCCGTATACCCATATTCTGTGTGCTTCGCAAATGTTGATTATCGCTGAAAATCATGACGTAACCTATTGTTTTCAGGACTATTTTACATTGGTGGGTCATACTGTGTATCGGTTACGTACAAGACAATTGTCAATACCAAGATGAACTGTACCTCCTTTTCCGCATACCCGTGTTCTGTGTCCCACACATATATTGACTATCGCTGAAATCATGACGTAACCTATTGTTTTCAGGACTATTTTACATTGGTGGGTCATAATGTGTATCGGTTAGACAATCGTCCATACCACGATGAACTGTACCTCCTTTTCCGTGTTCTGTGTCCCACGCAAATGTTGAATGTAGCTCAAAATCATGGCGTAATCTGTTGTTTTCAGGAATATTTTATGCAGCCTCTGCGCTAGGTCCGGCGGCGGGATATCTGATAGGTGGACAGTTTCTCAACATATACACTGACATCGACATCGGACAAAACGGGTAAAACTTATATGATCTCCATTTCTTAAAGAAAATAACGACACAAAACTAGTTTGCATAATTTGGATGAAACGTTATTGCATATTCATTTGGATGGTTGGGAAAAGGCAAATTGACCATCCAGTTGCAATTGAAACAGAAATAGCCTAAATGTGTAAAAACCGAAAAACCGAATAAATTCCATTCACTTAGCATTCTAACTATGGAGTATAGACCAGTGAAAAATATTAAAGAATTGTACAATCTTATGCTATTTTAGAAGAAAATTCAACAGTTTACAATGATAAGCACTAGTACAGAGCTCTAAATGTTTTTCTGAAAAAGGAATGGACTGACCGAGGCGGACCCACGGTGGGTGGGTGCCTGGTGGATCGGATTCCTGATGTGCGCGTTCCTGGCATGGTCCATCACCATTCCCCTGCTCGGCTATCCAAAAGAACTGCCAGGTAAGATTATATAGGCTCCGCCCCTGAGGCGCCGCCAAAAACATTTTTTTTTTATTACTGCGACGTTGTACTCAGTCTGTCTCCAAGAAGTTTTATTCTTTAGGTATAAGTGTTGAAAGAAATCTAGTAATCGTGTGGCAAATACTATAGGAGTCAAGCACAATATCTTGAGCAACCTAGTGTTTAGGACAAAGACAAAGAAGTAGACGAAAGACGTACCCACTATTTACATGTGTTATATAATATTTATGGGCATTCATGCAATATCTTAACAGTTGATGTGATGCCCCTTGTATTTGTTTGTTTATTTGGTCGATCTCCATTATTGCGTACAAATCAATGATACAACACTAGTCTTCCTGGAGTCGTATTGAATACTACACATACATACATACAAATACAAGAAGCATAACGTAACTTACATACAACATGGCAAATAAAATGCAACATAGCAAATGAAATACGACATGGGAAATGAGAATATAACATAGGGTATAAAACTGTTGAGAGGTCAGAGGTCTCAATACAGTTAAGAGCAGGTCTTGTACCTGTACAGGTGCGGCAGAAATCAAGGCGAACAAGGAGTCGGAAGCACACGCTAAGGGAGGGGCAGACGTGGCCTCCCAACCGGACTTTGGTAGGTATCATTGTTGCTTTGTAATGATGTACACTTGTTCTTAACCCTTGTAGTGTAAATGATAGTCCTTATCTTTCGGTTAAAGGAACTATCAAAACGTTGCTCTCCAAGTTAAGCTGTTCAATGTTTTCCGGGTGCTTTCAGCAAGAAAAGACGACAAAATAAGAGGAAAATCAAACACATGATATTCAAAGCGGTTTGATTGAGACGGGCGACGTTACCGACTTTCGACCACCTTTGACCTTTTTGTTGCCAATGGATACGTACTCTAAGCAATCGGTCTTCAGTTATACTCGGCGAGGAGCCCTTTTCCTGTGTTGAAAGCTGTTGATTTTTCCTATGATATCTGTTCTACTATTATATTAGGGAAGAGTTGGAGAGACTTCCCCATCGCCGTGAAGATCCTCCTGTGCAATCCTACCTTCATGTTCGTGAGCCTGGCCGGTGCCTTTGAAGGCTTCCTGACCAGCGGACTGGCCACTTTCGGACCCAAGTTTGTGGAGATGCAGTTTAGCCAGACCTCAGGTTGGGCCGCCATGCTTTGTGGTAAGACCACCATTTCTTGTTGGTCAAAAAGCTGAACCTTTTTTTCACCCCCCCCCCAAAAAAACAGACTCCACTAGATTTGTCAATGTGACATATTGTTATGTCAATGGCTTTTAGAACTAGAAATCTAAAATGAGCGAACAGAAGATAGAATGTTACATGGGTGAAATCTGACGTTAAATCTGAATATTATGCGCTGAACGTAATCAATGACGGTTGGTGTTCCGGCAGGGTTTGTGGTTGTTCCCCTTAGCGGCTGGAGGGAACATTCTGGCGGGTAAAATCTGACGTAAAATCTGAAAATTATGCACTGGACGTAATCAATGACGGTTGGTGTTCCGGCAGGGTTTGTGGTTGTTCCCGGGGCGGCTGGAGGGAACATTCTGGGCGGAGTTATCATGAAGTGGATGAAGTTGAAGTGCAGAGGAATGCTGCGGCTGTGCATCATCCTGGGCGGAGTGTGCCTGGCGCTGTACCTGGTGTTTCTCGTGCAGTGTCCAAACACCCCGTTTGCCGGAGTCACGCAGAGATACACCAACAGGTATGGAAAAGTTCCGAAAATAGTTTCATACGGTTGGTAAAGTATAGGATACAGGAGTTTTCTTTTACCACAACCAAAATTTATCACCATTGTGTTGGAATATAACACCAGAGATGATCTGAAATCCAACTATATTTATTTCTAGCATGAGAGAATGTCAAATCGACATTTCAACCAGTTCCTGTACATGAGGAATGATTGTAGTCGGCACCGTCCCCCGTCTCGGTTTAATAGATTCTCGTTTTTCTCGTTTTTTCCCAGCTCAATGGACCCGGCAGTGCATGGTCTCAACCTCACCAGCGAGTGCAATACCGACTGCAGCTGCCAGGAGGAGTACTACACGCCCACCTGCGGGGCGGACGGGGTGCAGTACTTCTCTCCCTGTCATGCCGGCTGCACGGTTCTGACGGGCACGGACGGGACTAAGGTACTTTGTCTTTTGGCAACGCCTCAGGGGGGTGGCGGTCTCGCACTCTGTGTGTGTGTGTGTGTGTGTGCATATATGTGTGTGTGTGCTTGTGCGTGTGACATGTCTGTGTGTGTGCTTGTGTGTATGTGTTATGTGTGTTTATGTGTGTGTGTGTGTATGTATGTATGTGTGTGTGTGTGTGTGTGTGTGTGTGTGTGTGTGTGTGTTTGCGTGTGTGCGTGTGTGTTTATGCGCCTCCTACGATTCACAATAAATACGATGCAGCGTGACCATACACAGTGACGATATTTTTGTCTGTGGAACTGGAATGGCCACAAAACGCTGTGGGTTACTTTCCAAGCAGAGGTTTGTGTTTTGGCTTACTTTTGGCGTGTTTTTAGGGTTTTTTTTATCGTGCTTTCTTTTGTGCAGTGACCAGTCAAAACTGCAAAGATAAATCCCGATAAAAAAGCCTAAAAACACGCCAAAAGTAAGCCAAACCCCAAACCTCTGCTTGGAGAGTACTGTTGGTAAGGGGAAGACGCCTGCCATCTCTGGTCGCTCGTTTCCTACCTCTGCTTGCTTGTCTGCCATCTCTGATTTCTTGTCTCCTCCCGTGTCCAGCGGTACCACAACTGCACGTGCATTTCGTACGACTCCGTGCCGAGCCTCGCAGAGACGCTGGAAGGGAAGTGCGAGTCGAGCTGCGGGACCATGCCGGTGTTCCTGGCCATGTTTTTCGCCATCATGCTGCTGACTTTCGCTAACAACCCGCTGGCCACGGGCGCCACGCTCAGGTAGGGTCTCAGCCGTACGTGTTTGAAAATAAAATCGACCATATGCCATACAGTAAATTGTACAAAGTACTAGTAGCTGCAAAATGAGCACATATATGCCGCAAATTGCAAAAAAAAAAAAAATTGGAAAATTATGTAGCAGAATGTCAAAATCCATTCCAAAGGACAAGAGGAAAATAAGAAGGAATGAAAAATGAGTCTTTATTCACCATGCCAATGAAATATTACCTTGTGAACACACGATATAGAACCTGTTGTTGCTCATAAGAGAACTAGGAGCAGTATGTTCAAATAATGCTTCAAACAAGTTTTTTTAGAATCTTTATTTTACCCCAGGACTGTTCCAGACAGCCAGAGACCGTTCGCTCTGGGTCTTCAGTGGATCTTCGTCAGATGTATCGGTGCGTGTCATATTGTTGATAACTGGGAATCTTAATTAACGTTTGTTATATTTGCACAATGAGCAGTTGAAAATAGATAAAGGTAATATCATGTTCTCAACCCAGAGTGTTTTAGGTACCTTAGCTTATTATTTTGCCATCTTTGCTATGAAACGCTTGTCATCTTACCCATATCACCACTATAAAACACTGTCTATAAAGGTAGAACGTGTTTTGAAGAGGAGAAACTGCCAAGGTGACCATTCGATGTATACTAATCCTTTCCCCTTGTCTGTTTGTGAAACTACAGGGACCATTCCTGGCCCGATCCTGTTCGGAAGGTTTATAGACGATGCCTGCCTCGTCTGGCAGGAGAAGTGTGACGGACAGGGGTCCTGCTGGTTCTATGACAACGCAGCGATGGCCCGCTCCCTCCTGTACCTCACCATCGCCGGGAAAGCCCTGGCTTTCATATTCTACTCAGTAGCCGCCCTGTCGTACAGACCCCCGCCGTTAGAGGACATGGATAAAACTACGACTGAGGTCGCCTTGCATAACCAGGATGAGCTAGCCGCTGTTACTGTTCCTGAGTCAAACGGAGTTAGCAATAAGGCACTAGAAATAGAAAGCACTGAACTGTGATAATTGTCATAAACTGATTATATGAAACAGTGTAAAAATGTATGTAATGACAATGAAGTTTATTGCATATTCATGCCCCATAATAATAAAATTGACTCACCAGGAATTTTCGACCGAATCATTCGGTCTTTATCAGCTTTCGGAACCAAGTGCTGTGGACACGTGCCTTTTACCCACGTGTTACGTCAGTACGGGGTCAAAGTTCATCGGAAGTCGGTACCGCCCCCCGTCCCGGTTGAGCAATAGTCAATTTTCTTGAGTTGGAGATGAACTTTAATGCCAGGGTAAAAATTCTTCAGCTGCTCAAAAAAGGATGAAATTAAATCTAATATCCTCCAGACATTTATGATTTCACAGTGACAAAGAAAGAGAAAAATGCTAGTCGTTTTGAATTGAAATTTCAGTACATTAAATATATTTGTATATTGAGAAATTTATGAAATCTATATCTGATTAAAAAGCCTGTATATGGCATTACTTGCTGCTGAATAAGTGTACATAATGTAATGTTTAACAAAGCAAGAAAAGAAAAAGTATTTACTGTATATTTTATAATGTATGATGCTGTACATTTTTGTTTACAAAACATAACAATATAACACTGCCACTATCAACATGAGTGTATACAGTGTATAGAAGATAGTATTCAAATTATATTCGTCCATGGTATAGTAGACCACGTTGTTAATAAGGATATCTTTATGAGTTATTACCGATATTATAGGTAGTTGCCACACTGATAACTTTGGTACTTGTATTTGTTTCAGATGCTTGGTAACTACACAAGGCGTCAAAATTAGAAAAGCGTAAAAATGTCGCCTTTATACACTAAAGCTTGAAGGATGAAGAGAAATTATGATGTGTGTCAATTTTAATAAGATGGTGACATGATCTCAGGAGTTTGTAAACTAAGTGCAGTTATGAAATCTTATAAGACGATCTTGTCTCAAACTACGACTGAATAAAGTGAAAATTCAATTTCTTATGTCTTCATCACTTCCTAACTTATGTTTCTGCTTTAATTTTGTAACTACGTTAATTCTAACACAGCAACTGTTAATCAAAAATTAGCTCCAACTCTTACTTTAAGCTCCGCCCACCCACAATGCATTAGCATGGGCCATCTTCCCAAGGTTAACCCATAATATCCTCACACTTCAGTGAGTGACCTATGACCCCGTTGCAGATAAATGCCATGTGGTCGGACAAGTTTTCTGGAGCTGTTATCGTCTACTCAAGGTCTCAACCGTCTTCTGTCTCAGCGTTTAAACTGACTTGACTTTCGTAGACAAGACAAGACAAGACAAGATTAGACAAGACTAGACGAGACAAGACAAGACTCAAAGTAAGGCTTATAACGTTATATTATACACAGGCTGCCATGTTTTTCACGTAAACTATAGCTGACTGCTATCCCGTCTTTTCACTGAGGAAAACCTTGTTTGCAGTAGGAGTATGATCTAACCCCCCTCCTATCAAGTAAGCCTTCTTATACAGTTTGATATCGTATTTTATGGATAAGTGGCGAATTTGGGTAGCCGGGGTGCCATCCGATTTGTAACGGCAACCCCGAAAAAAATTGGGTCAGGCTAAGAACAGAAAAGACGAAGACACGAATCGTCCCAAGTGACCTGAAATAAGATGTTGTCACCATGACTTAAGCTTCTGGTCCCCCTAAAAAAACGGTATTACAGAAGGACCCCCCCATGCAGACCCTCAGAAACATACCGAAATACGCTGTCTGCCTGTCTACCAAAACAATGACTTGAACCCAGTTTTGTTATGGTAGGAGCTAGCGATAATAGTTCACCACTTACAGTTTAAGAGCTGTGGAAGTGTGTGTCTAGTGTGAATACTTTCCCCGGGGCTATTTAAACATAGGGGAGGACCAACTAACATACACCAGAAGGGGTTAGCTGACGAAAAACTCGCTGTTTGGTCAGTTTCTACCAATGACGATTCCCACTTTTCATAGTCACATCACCGTGACATAATCTCTACCAATAAATTAGATGTAACTACAAAGAAAACCTATCGAAGCATTCCAGCAATGCATGGTGACGAGGTGGTCCTATTTTTTCTTGATAGGGTTCAAACAGGGACAGTTGTTACCACCTAATCTCCAAGCAGATCTCCTACGGTGGCAAAACACTGTATGAGGGTCCTGTATCAGATTGGCAAGGCAGTATCAGAGAGGGTCCAATTTACGCCACTTTTGCCACCCTAGGATCTGTTTGGAGATTACTCACCACCCCACCCTGTTCTTTGTTTATCTGACTCCCCGCGGCGTGTCCTTGGAACCGTGCCTGGTAGGAAGGTTGAGAATGACAATGCCAGGTGTGTTGGGTGAGACGGCCGGTACTTATCATTAGGTCAAGTGATCGCTGTAGGTGTTCCACAATACTGTATTGCTAATTTTGTCTGGATGAAGACAGCCAAAAAGAGCACTATTTAAAAGCTGTAGAATGTTTCGTTGTTATCTTCACCAAGAAGGTCGATATGTTTTTGGTAGCGTTTGTGTGTATCTATGAATGTATTTATGCGAGGTTTAGCACGATAACTCAAGAAGCTATCAATGAATTGTCACGAAAGTCGGTAGGTAGGTACCTCTTGATAAGACCTTGGAACGATCAGTTTTTGGGCTCCCTCGCGGCTTGTTACGGTACTGCAGCAGAATTGCCATTTTCATATCCCGCGATCTGCCTAGACTTTGGATGATACATAGCTCTTGCGATCGGGAAGTAAGTGAGTTTGGACCCCTAGCAACTTGTTCTGGAACTGCAGGGGCGTTTGTTTCAAAGAATCCCTAAGTTCCTTTGTTTTTGCTCTGCGGCTGTTTGAGTAGAAATGACTCGGACGGACAGGGTTGAGCCGGAGACAGACGACAGTGAGAGGAACCTGACAGGCAGGCCGGACCTGAGGTGCGGCTGGGGGAACATCAAGCCGAGCTGTGTGCAGGTGAGAGTCAGGAGTACACAGGGGTCTCCCTCTGTCCCTGTCTCTGTCTCTCTCTCTCTGCCTTTGTCACTCTCTCTGTCTCTGTCTCTCTCTCTGCTGCCTTTGTCACTCTCTCTGTCTCTGTCTCTCTCTCTGCCTTTGTCACTCTCTCTGTCTCTGTCTCTATCTCTGCCTTTGTCACTCTCTCTGTCTCTGTCTCTCTCTCTGCCTTTGTCACTCTCTCTGTCTCTGTCTCTCTCTGTGCGCACGTGTATGCGTGATTGTGTGTTTGCGCGCGTGTCATCCTCCCAAGCCAGGGGTGCTTCCTTACGAAGGCGTATTTGCCGCGGGATAGCTCTGCCGTGGGAGAATGGCGCGTGTGTGTTTGCGTGCATGCTTGCAAAAGTGTGTGTGTGTGTGTGCATGTGCACATGCATATGTGTGTGCGCGCGCGTGTGTGTTTCATGTGTGCATGCATGTGTGCGACTTCGCTGCTCGTTGTAGTGATTAATACAAATAATTCTCTTATTGGTTATTTGGATGTTCGGAAAAAATCTAATTCACTACACGTGGAAGGACTGTGATCACGACTGCATTTTTTTTTGTAAGAATGTATTTCTCTGTCTACAGGTGTGTAACAACTCCAAAGGAGCGCTGGTGTTCCTGTGCATGTTCGGGTTCGTGCAGTCCATGTTAGTGAACGGTTTTGTGAACGCCAGCATCACGTCCATCGAGAAGCGGTTCCAACTGTCCAGCAGGAACGCCGGCATCGCCGCGGCGTGTTACGACATCGCCTACGTCGCTCTAGCGCTGTTCGTGATTTTTTTATTTGTTACCTTGCAGGTTCATCTGTGTTCAACTTGGTAGAAGTCATTATGAAAAGTTTAAGGGTCATTGCATGAGAAAACCAGGCAAAATTGGTGGGAGGTCGGAAGATGGGGGTCGGCCAAATCCGCTTATATTTTGTATATAGGATAGGTATAGGTAACTATCACCAGCCATATAATTAAAACCCTCCAGCACTTTTTTGTTATGGAGTTCTGAAACCCCCCATGGAGACCCTCAATAATTGGAAAATTTTTGCCTGGAAATTCACGAAATTCGGATCGCTCTCTCTCCTACAGGAATGTTCGTTTGGCTGAAACTGTTTTTGTTTTTTGCAGTTTCGTGACATACCACGCCGGCCAGGGCAACAGCAAACCCAAGTGGCTGGCGTTCGGGAGCTTCGCGCTCGGCACAGGCGCCATGCTGTTCTCGGTGCCGCACTTCGCGTCGGGACCGTACGTGTACGGGTCGGGCACCACGGACACATGCGACCCCGGCGGGAACAGCACGACAACCGGCTGTACCACGGGAGGGAGTACCCTGTCCTACTACCTGGGCGTCTTTATTCTAGGTGAAAAATAACGTCCTTTTCTAGAGGGGTATTGATAATAATGATTGATAGTATTGATAATAATGATGATGATGGTAATGATGATAATAATGATAATACTGACGACGACGACGATGATGATAATAATTTGATTAATACTAATAATAATCAAAATAATGATGATAACGATAATAATTATTTTATGAAACTCGGTGAACAGATGTTGGCGTGCTCAACAGAAATACGCTGTAATCCAACATGAGTCTTGACGCAGGGTTCTCGGCGTGTTCGGGGGTCAAATTTGACTCAAATGTAACTCAAATTCGTTTCGATTCATAAAGTAAAGTCGTCTGGTGTTCGGGAGCAAGGTCGGGGAAGTACATAGATGTGTGACAGTTGCTTAACACACGTTGTATATTTTTTCTTTGCCAGCACAACTTTTTCACGGTTTCGGCGCCACGCCCCTGTACACAGTGGGGACTGCGTATTTAGACGAAAACGTGGAGGAAGTGAACTCCGGGCTGTACATAGGTACGTGACATGTCACTTCGTTTTAAAATAATAGCAAAACGTACTTTATTTGCTTTTCAGCACAACTTTTTCACGGTCTCGGACACACAGCGTTCACTGTGGGGACGGCGTATCTAGACGAAAACGTGGAGGCCTTGAAGTCAACTCCGGGCTGTACATAGGCACGTCACATGTCAAACGAAGTTTTCTGCTTTGTCCCTTTGATGTATGGACAGCCAAACAAAAACTAGTAGAGACCATACGATAGTTGACCCTTAAGATTAACCTGGTACACCAAACGATACGTAAACCACACTCTCTACATAGATTTTGGTGCCATCTGTCAGTACCAGGTAAATACATCTGCTTGTGCGCGTTTCACAGTGCAGCATTGCCGTATATATGTCCTCAGTGCTGCTGTGTTGATCTGTAGGACTGGGAGATTCTCAAAGCAGTATGGGTAAGGTGTTGAAGTATGCCATCTCTGACTACTTTTTTTTTGCTCTAGGAATCTTTTACGCAGCAGCGACTATCGGTCCTGCTGTAGGGTACCTTGTGGGTGGGCAGTTCTTGGACATCTTTGTCGACATCGATATCGGGAACAACGGGTACGTTCTGAGTCCATCCTAGAAACTTCGCGCCAAATTTCAGTGTCGTTTGCAAATGACGTCAAAGCTGCGATACTGATAATGATTGGTAGTACTTGAAGTCATCTTGGACACTGTATAATATCATAAATTCAAATTCACCGGGTAGTGGATCGAAGCCGGATCAAAGCGAATCAATTTGGCTCGATCTAGGGCCCCATTCCCACCAGGATAAAATTGTCCGGATCGAGCCGAACCGATTGGCTTTCATCCGGCTTCGATCCGGCTCCGATCCTCCTCGAAGCAGGAACGAAGCCGGATCAAAGCGAATCTATTCGGGTCGATCCGGACAATTTTATCCTGGTGGGAAAAAGGTCTAACTCTGGTCGTCTGCCCAGGTCTGAGCTGACCCCGGGTGACCTGAGGTGGGTGGGCGCCTGGTGGATTCCCTTCGTCATCACCGCAGTGCTGGGCTGGGTCCTCGCCGTCCCGCTGCTGGGATACGCTAAAGAGTTACCTGGTGAGTACTAATCTCCAAGCAGATCCCTCTCGGTGGCAAAAAGACAGTATCAAATTGGACAGGCAGTATCCATTAGCCAGAGAAGGTCCGCGGCCACCGACGGTTGGGGGTCAGGACAAAAAAAAGGCCATAGATAAAAATGTAACGATCATTCCCCCACAACCTCTGCTTGGAGAGTAGGTAAGTACGGCGAAACATAACTTTTGCGATGCGACATTTTTGCCTTCATCAGAAGGCTATGAAATCATTTTGCTATAGTGTGGGATACTGTGATATAAGCCATATAACTCTTGAAGGCATGGCGTGATGTTCATGATTTTTGGCAGGCAGGTTACCGTTGGGGAGACCAAGGTTAAGTGCAAAAATGGGCCTCGTGGGGGTCCATACGTCACTGCAGCGGACCTTTTGTGTTTGTCGTTTTCACTGTTAGCAATATATTGTACGACGCATCCACGACTGACTCAAGAATGTCGCGATTTGCTGTCGTGCATTTATCGTACGGCGAATGATGTGGGAACCTAGGACAGGCCCCAAAACACAGAAATATGTCAATAATAATGTTTGTTCGTTTGTTTGTTTGTTTGTTTATTTCTTCATTTGTTTGTTTAGGCACAGCGGAGATCAGAGAGAAAAAGATATCCCAAGCCGACGTAAGAGGGGGAGAGAAGATAGCCGCCAATCCTGATTTCGGTGCGTCAAATTTTCGTTTATTTCTCATTCAACAGTAAAGAAAAGTTTTAAGCAAACCACCAAGTTAAGTGTAATACATGCATGGATATTTATTTTGTCAGGTGAAACAGAAGATACAAGCCGTAGCCGTACCCTGTGTTTTCTGGAAATATAATAATTGTTTTATCGCAAATTCATGCCCGAGGGATAATTGCAAGTACCGAAAAAAACATTTGGTACAAGAACAGGCAAACACAAAGAAATACTAACTCTTAAAAACTACTGGGTTTGACTTCTTTTTTGAAGACAGGGGAAAACAAAAGATCCCACTTTTTCTGGAATCTGTGGGTTTTTGGATGTTAAGATGAGAGTAGTTTTCATTTGTATATGTGTGAAAGTTAGGGTAGAATTTGGAGGCTGCTTCAGAGAGTTAATTCCGTTCATTGCTATAGAGAGTACTCTCCAAGCAGAGGTGAGAGGGAGAGAACGTAGGATATTCCGACATGGCTAGCTAAGGGAGGCACAGGAATGTGCCTTCCTTAGCT